GTTTGATTTGAAGACTCCAGGACTGTTTAGTTTAGAGATATTTTTGTCTCTGCAGGCTTAACCGTCTGTTTTTTCAGTCATGTTGTGGACTGTATATGTGTCCGTCAACACTGTAAATCCTGTGGGGGTTTTACTTTCACTAGATTCATTACCGACTCTTAACCCCTGACCTCACTTCACCTCCACTCTCTCTCTGTGACCCCCACCTGACGGGTAAAGTGTGCATTTGTTTCGTCACATGTGCCGAGGTTAAGGCCGCAGTAGCCGCTGGTTTCAGACAGATGATATGATGTGGTGATGAACCCGCTGTGTGATGGTAATTGAAGCTATAACAGCCTGCCAGCAGCGACCTCCTGTGATTGATGTGAGTCCGGTGGACGCAAACAGGCTGATCCCAGAGCAGCGATATCCGCAAAACATCGACAGGAGGGTCAGAAATTGAAGTCAGGGGTTGATGGTCCATCAGTAGAGGCTGTTATGGAATTTCTGGACTCCAAATGAGAGTAAAAACCTCATTTTCACAGTGTGACTGCTGTGATGCAGCAGATGAAAATGCTTGTTGTCTCTTTTTTTACGAGGCCAACCACGCTGCAACCAGCCAAGTGGTCTTCATTAGGAGAAAGGCTGCAAATTTAGAACCACATGCAAAAGCCCAAAAATAAACCGAATGATAAAAACGTGCTGCGAATGGCAGTCATGGAGCAAAATCTGGAACAACTTCCGGCAATGTGTAGCAAATCCTATGAAGAATGCAAATCCAAACACAGAGGGCTGGGAACTATCCCAGATGCTATGTGGCGAGAGGCAGAGTACCCCCTCAACACATCGTCAGTCTGTCACAGAGTGGAGAGACAAACAGTCATTCATGCACACTCACACATAGTCACCAATTCACCATACAAGCATGTTTTGGACTGTGGGAGGGAGCCGGCGTGCACAAAGAAAACCCAGACATGCATAAACAGAGCGTGTAAACTCCTCACAGAAAGGCCCAGCAGAGATTTGAACCATGGACTTTCTTGCTGTAAGAAAACAGTGCTAGTCAGTGCACCACCGCGCAGCTGCAAACAGAAACAGACTTCAGATAAGAAGTGTCCCAGACCTGTAGTGGTGCTCAAATCTCTCCAGACACATAAAGCTGAACCTATTCCACGCCACCGTGGAGTCTATTCTCCTTTATGGCTGCGAAAGCTGGACCCTGAAACCCACCTTGCAGAAGTCCCTGGATGGGTGCTACACAAGAATGCTACGAGCTGGTCTGAATGTGGACCAGAACATCCACATTACCAACAAGGATCTGTACGGGCAACTGCTAAGGCTCAGCAAGAAGGTAGCATCTATGAGGATGAGGCTGGCTGGCCACTGCCATAGATATCAGGAGCACCTGGCCAGCAGGCTGGTCCTATGGGAACCAACACACGGGCGCTGTTCACAAGGACGTTCAGTGCTAACGTATGTGGAAGTCCTGAAGGGGAGCTGAAAGCTCTTTGGAGCTGGCCGGGTGTATGGAGAATTGGGAGGATTGGAGACTCTGATGGAAGCTTGTCTGAGGACGACTGAGAGAGACCTGTAGGGGGCATGCAGGATTTTTTTTGCTGCTGTTCTCCCTGCCTCAGGCTTTGGCACATGGAAGGACAGAGATCTCTGAGGACAGAGCCCTACAACCAATATAAGTCATAAAAGTGGTCCTAACTGAAGTATTTTATGTATTATTTGGTAAAGGAAAGGGTGGAGAATTATTCCTCAGCTCTTACAGTCTCTGGATCCAAATGTGCAATCTGTTAGCGGTGTCATGAGCGATATTTTGACTTCACTTTTGTACTTCTGAGTGTTGGAGAAAAACACATCATTTAACTTTTTGTATTTAGTCAGTATCGAACAATTCATATCAACAAAGTGTTCACAAACTTTGACTGTTAAAGAATTTTAAGTTGTAATATTACAACAGAAACCTCACAGTACCACACAGTTCACATAGGGACAGTCTAACTTTGTAAATCTGTGAATGTTTTATGTGTTTGTTTGTTTGTTTGGTTGCTATGAGCCGAGGGAATCCTGACCTTTAACCTCCAACCCCGAGAGCTGTTAACAAGGCCAGAGAAAGTAACAGCTCCATCAGTGAGAGACACCCGACACTGCTGATGGAGCAGGTGGAGGGAGAGCTGACGGCCAATCAGCTGTCAGAACAGCAGGAAACCCCTCTATGATTAGACGCCAAGTGAAGAGGATGATTTAGCCGTTTACTCGACCAAAATAGCTCAAGAATTACTGCTGCTAGTGAGGAAATGTGATCCAGAAATTCACCACATTCGTGTTTTTATTTCAGTCTTAGTGTCCTTAGCAGCTTCATGTATCGATCGTTATTTACTACAAACTAAAACAGAAAAATAAAACATCTTAAAAGGCATTAGAAAAAGTTACAAAGTAAGAAGGTGACATTGAGTTTGTTGGTGTAGGAGCTGAGAAATCTTTTGACCTTTTTTCAACTTTAATCTATGAGGTAACATTCAAGCTAATTTCATCATCTGCTCATTAATTAACTTAACATGAAGCTGTCTCGGGAGGATAGAGATTAAAAGGTGGAGTCCATTGCAGTCTGAAGACTTGTCCTGTCTGCAGCGTCTGGGCAGGAGTGCTGAAGTAAAAAATATGGAGTTTGAATCCTGTTACCGAAAGAAAAGACAAAATTTCTAGATTTTGTTGGATCATGTTTTATTAAAATTGGATCTTTACAGCAAACCAAACAGTAGAAACTTGTAATTACTGCTTTTAACACATTTCCAGATCTCATTGTTTCCTGTTTCTGATCTTTTCTTTAGCCGCTCAGCTCCTTCGGGTTTAATCTCTTTAGTATTCAGGTGACGTCTGCTGAAGGGGACTTTGTATGTTGTTTATTTGCGGGGCCATATACCATCCAATTACTGAACAGCAGCAGCACAATCACAGAGGATGAATGCATGTTCACAAGGTACACGTGAACTGCTGCTTTTTTTGCGCAGTTATTTCTCTGGCTGTTCGACCTAAATAAGATGCTGGATGAAAGATAGAGCTTTAAGGTTGAGTTTGTGCCTTTTAAAAATGACTTGTTCAAGGACAACCATCTAAAACGTAATTTTGTCGTTGGGCTCCTCTGTAGATGGCCTCTGGCTCGAGTCATAAAGCAAGTAGACGCAGAAGATTCAGACTTTCGAATACACAGTTAAGACATACTAAGTTAAGAAAGTAAGTAGCTTTGTTGGTGTCCAGTGTTACTGCAACGTTAAAGGTTAGAAAAGGTTTGAGGTCTGCTCGTCTCGTTGGTTATTGTGGCTACTTTTTCAGAAGTCTGACCTTGCATTGTAAACATTACAAATATTTGACGTTTACAATCCCAGACCCAAGTTTTCTCACTTTTTCCCTCCATGTTAATTTTTTCCACTTCAAGTTTGTTGTTATTTTTATTGTTAAATGTTGTTTAATTAAAAACATCGCCCCCTGCTGGTATGGAGTCATCTTTTCCCAGGCTTAAAGGATCACAGGCTGGTGTCTTTGCAGTTTGTAGAAATTTTGGCCCCGACTCAATCAGCGAGCCAGTTATGCATTGTTGCATGCTGCATGTTGGTCTGGCGTGTCTAGCACATGACATTTGAAAACAGCAGAGGTGCTTCTGTCCGGCTGCTCAGAGGTCCTGAAATGTCATAATCATGCTGATAAGACCTGCAGCACGCTGAGCTTGTTTTCAAGTATTTGTCGTCTTTTTGAACTAAAGGGAAATGGTTAACTCTGAGATCTGTAGAGGTCTTATAACCTGTGCTCTTTTTAGACTACAGACCGTTTATTTTAAAGGCTCCTTTATTCTGTGCCTCAGGATATTGTTATAAATGTCAGATATCAGTGATTGAGTGTTTGCACTCTATTGCTTTTGTGCCTGGTTACTATTTATAACTCAAACTGGAATTGGTTTTTAGTTATCAGAGGTTATTGGTCTGACGTCCTCCTCTGCAGAGACGCTCCTTCAAACTCTGTCTGGAACAAAATGTTCTCTTTATGAGCTTTTTTAAAGATGCTTTTCATTCAATAACCACTCACTTTATTTCCGATTAAGCGTCCTTCACCTCTATAAACTCAACAATATAAATCCTCACTTTCTGTGTTTTCAGGTGTTCAATAGGAGGATAAATGACTGCCAGAGAAATCCTAATTCAGGCTTTTCTGTCTCCTCACCTCTCCATCACAGCGCAGCCTCTCTGTGCAGCATAATGAGCTGGGGGAGAATACAATTATTGCAATTACCCACAGTGAGATGACCCCAATCAAGCCATTCAACAGAGGCAATTAAAAATGAGGTGCCAGCCACATAGAATTAAGACTCAATACAAGCCAGGCCTTTTGTGTCTGTATTTTACCGTTAAATAGAAAAGATTGAGAGTTTGATCTTTGAAACTGCAGGACAAAAAAAATAATAGACTGAATTCTACCAACATCTTAACAGCATTATCTTTTTATTCAAGTAAAAACAAGAAGATATTAAAAAAAAGCTTGCAAACCGTTGACTTAACGCTGCGTTCAAGTTACCTTGGAAATTGGAAGTCGGAGCTGGGAATGATGTTACACCCGAGTTGACAGTGTTCCACTTAACAAGTCGGAAAACCAAGATGGACGCCTGCAGTTACCCGTTGTTAGCTGTTGTTTACAATTGTCAGCTGTCATTTGCTGTTGTCATTTGTTGCTAGTGGTTGTCAGTGGTTGTTACTTTCAAATACCACAGGAATGCAGCATTATTCTCACTTCTTTGAATTAAAAATTTTGGTGCGGACAACCCCTAGTGTACACTCAGGAACTGCAGATTTTTGTACTTTTGCATTGAGTAACTTTTCTTTAAAACTTCTATGAGGAGTTTTTAAGGTTAACAAATAAGACAGAAAATCACAATGATGCCTTTTAATGATTTACAAAAGCAAACAAGTCAATCAGTGACATATTTAAACGCTACATGCACCGTAGACTGTAATGTTATGAGTGGGCGAGTGTCCCAAAGCAAAATGGCCGCCATGCGCGGACGTTGTTCTCCATAGGCTAACAGCGGCCGAGTGAGAGCACGCTTACGTTAATTAACAGACAAAAAGTTATTAAACTTTAACCTATTTCGTCTTGAATTATTGATCCCGGGAGGTATTCGCAACCGTGAGGAGGTTTTTGGCGTACCGGACATTACCGTGTTGTTTTGTTTTGTTGAGAGAAAACTCCGGTGAGTAGTAACCGTTAGCGCTTAGCATAGCATGCTAGCGGCTGCCGACCACAGTTAATTACTGACTCATTTCATGAATAATTCATTAATATGTGTCGTTATGTTACTGAGACAATATTTTAAACCAACCGGAGGTATTTAAGAGTGTATATTTATGTCGAGAATGTGGTTAATTTTGTATTTCTTTGTGGAAACTGCCTGTGCTAAATCGAGCTATTGCTATAAGACTTGTGCTATTGCTAAATGTTAGCTAATGCTAATCAGTTAAACAAGCTGGTTTTGTGAGCTAAAACACGTACAGCAGTGTGTATAAGTTATTGAGAGACAATAATCCAATGAATCATTCTCAAACATGATTGATATGTGATTTAATTCATTTTTTTGTGCGCAAATTCATTTTATAGCTGCATGTGATGCATTGTTAATGTGAATGGTCAAGTCCATTGATAAAAAAAGATTAAGATTAAAAAGAAAATAACTACTGTACAGTTGATTTAGATAAATGTCTAAAAGAGATAAAGAGATTATTAACAGATGTAAAACTGCTGCTCTATGCAGGTTTTTTGGTGTATGAAGCGATTCTGATGGCGATCCAGACCCCAACCCAGAGGAAGGTGGAGCAGGACACTGGCTTGCATGAAGGATGTGACAACGGTAACAGCTCATCGTGCATCTGGAGAAAGAACATCACATCATACAGGTAAGACACCAAATCACACTACCTGGGTAAATGAACAGTTATACCACCATACAAAGACTAACGCATAAACTGTGAACACTGACTAAATTGGACATTTGCCTCTATTTTTGGACTTTATTAGACTTGGTTTTGTTTAATTTGGCCACATTTTCTCTATTTCATTTGCACTTTAAGCAGTATTTTTTCTATGCTGTAAACTTGTTAATGTTGTTTACAACTGAGGTTGTTAAATGGTAGATTCTAGGTTGGTTGAGAAATATTAATCCAGTCATAGCTGGACTATTTTCTTCGTTACGATTGAAGAGTGGCTTCTGGCCAAGCAAGAATATTGTGGATGCTCTTATTTCAAACTGTTGTCCATGTCACATCTATATCCTTTCTGAGCGAAACTATATCTTCTGATTTTGGCCTAAATTAAAGTACATGATAGTCACCTTAGTTTATGTACAGTAGACATCCATTACACATGCAGAAAATACACTAAATATGTTGCATTTGATTGTCAAAAGTCAGTAGGATAGTTTTGTTTCAGACAAGCAGACATTGATTTGTCTATTAGGGGTGCCAACACTGACTCAAACCAAAAGTCTCTCACAGAGGCTTTGTTGACGTTTGCAGCTTGGTTATAGCAAGGTGGAGTTGACTTAGTTAACTGGTATGTCCTAGCTGTTGTTTGGTCATTAATTGGCTTTTTAGGGCTGGTTATACAGCAACATGTTCCTATACAACCAACCAATCCAGCATATTCTGGGTCTACCTCGGATTCTCTCCTGTTTGACACATGTTGAGGACTTCCTGTATCAAATTCCCAAACTGCCTTAACTGACTCTTTTCAATTCTAAGGAGCAGCAGCTCTACTCCAAGCTCTCTCTGGATATCCAAGCTTCTGACCCCATCTCTAAGTGAGCCTAGACACCCTTCTGAGGTGCCTCATTCAGACCACCTGTATCTGCCTGTAAATCGAAAGCTTTGCCTCCATGCAGCTGGAGGTCTTGACTTAAACACTCTTTTACTATTAATGGGAAGATTTCTAAAGTTTGGCAGATAACAGTTTAATTCTTGCTCTAAAATAGATTCTGTTTTATAAAATAATCTCATAAAACTAACCATGTAAGAGAGAAGTAGAGTCTGAAAAACCAGCCTGGTAGAATTAAGATCAGTTTTACGGCTGATATGAAGTCACTCTAAGCGTTTTTTCTTTGGCGATTGCAGGTGAATACAGCTGAGTCGTCTGCATAAAGAGATACATCTCAATAAGCTGCAGATTGCTGTTTAATGAACTGCAGTTTTGCCACCTGTGAATCTTTTTTCTAACATCATGTCTGAGAGTATGAGGCAGCTGGATATCTGTGGGATCAGAAACACTGCTGGCTTGTGAACCTGTGGGGCTTGCGTGAATGTATTCGGCATGTGATGGGATATGACAGGTCAGTTTCTGTTGCTCTGCTTCCTGCTGCTGCTTGGAGGCAGAGACCACCATCCCAGGTTGCCACGGCTACCGACCGTCTGGCATGGCAGGTGAGGGGCTGCGCATTAATTTGGCTGTAGACTCGGTCCTCTGTGGTGACTGGAGATGGAGGTGATAATGTGTCCACAGTTACCGCTCAGACAAGGCTGGATTTACATCTCAGGCCTGCTGGGACTCTGCGGGACACTCAGGGCCGGTGTCAGGGCCGTTTAACAGCTCTGTTAATGCTCAAGTTATGGATTCCTGCAGGATTATCTCGTGATATATGAGGCGATGCAGATAACATCGGCCGTTCACCTCCATGTGTGACCGCTGAGACGGATAATGGGTGAACACATGATCAGCAGAGCTTCATTTATAGACGAGTCTTTATTTCAGGAGCCACTGCACACCGATAACAGCTCTATTGTGTTCATCAAGGACACACCTGAACTAATGTCATCCTCCAGTGGTTCCACACATGCAATGTCAATTTAACCCCTAAAACTCTTCAATGTAAATAAATCACTGCATCGCTATGTTACCATCTAGCAGAGCCGTTTCAGGCTGTTGGGGTCGTGCAAACGCTTCAGTATGTTCTAACCTTTTTCCTGTTATTTCTGGTGTCTCTACTGTATTCTTCGCTAAATGCATCATGTTGACATAATCTGCAAACATACATCATGACCCCGAAGACCTAAGCACGCTGAGTCATGATGTTGCATTTTCTGTGTTTGCTGTTGCATGGAGGGCTCTAGCTCTCATTACTAGAAAATGTATCTCTAAAAACACGGGGATCTGTCTTTTCGCAGTAGAAATAATAAATGTTGTAGCTGCTTCTTTGGTTGTAACATCAATTGAAGCAGTTTTTGCAAGAGACAATCTCTTGTGGCTTGTTAGTGGCGAGTTTTAAACCTGCGTAAATGAATTAAATTATCGTAGTAATGTTGCTATGATATAAAGGTCTCAGCTTTCTACTGCAGGAAGAATGACTGCTCTGGCTCACATGGTTTTTATTTTAGGACAGGGTCGTGCCAGACAGCCCATTTGAAAAGTTTTTAATACATTGCCCATATGCTAAAGAGAAACAGCTTCTTGGGATAAACACAGAGAGGACTTGGTGCAGATATGACAGATAGACCACAAACTAAGAGAAATGTTGTTGTTTATTCAAGTTTTTTCCCCGCTGAAGTGTTTTTCCATGCTGTGGTTTCCGCGTCGTGTTGGCGCCCTGTTGAACAGAAGTGTTTTTCTTGAGTCAGGCTGGATCTAAGTCTGAGTCAGCCCTGAATCAGCAGAGTCATGGTCCTGTTGTCAGTCACTTCCTGTGCAGACCAGCCCGTCCTCACCGCATGGCCCCAGGCTGGCACAGGTCTGAGGCCGCCGCCCTGCACCGTGTGTCCAAGCAGCCGTTATGTAACCCAACCTCCTTCGTCGGGCCGAGCTTTCACCGCAGCAATCTGCCACCTCTCAGGGTATCACAGTGAACAGACACAGTCATTAACGGGAACAGAGATGGTCATTAACGCTGTTAGAGAGACACGAGTCGTCTCCGTTTGGTGTACGTGTGTTTCTAAAGCTGCTCAGTCTAAAATCTGATTCATTACTTTATATATTTAAACTCCAGAAAAGAGTCTCTGTACCTGGGGTGAAAACGAAGCTGGACCTCTAAAAGAGCTCAACAGACTCTCAGTGTTTGTGGCTCTGTGACCAAGGAAGAGGAGGAGGAGGAGGAATGATGGTGGAAATGTGGCCTGAACTCAGGGCCAGGAGCAAAGAGACTCTCAGGACAGGACTGAGCCACCGGCCTCCCGCCAGGAAGAAGAAATCTCCTCCAAAATAAAAGTGCATCTGGAAGACCACAATGGAAAAACAATCATTAACATAAATAAATTTTTCTGACTAAAGCTAAAAAGAGTTGATGCTAAATTTAGACAGAAATCAGAAGGCAGAATAAACACACTGAGGATTTTTACTGTAAACTTTATGTTCCCAGATTTAGAGTTTTCCATGTGTGAAGATAAAAAAGAGGAGAGTTTCAGAGTTTTTTTTTTTTTTTAAATCAGGTGAAGGAGCTCAGGTATCTCAGCGTCTCAGTAACACAGTGAGGGTCAAATGGATCAGACGAGTCTACAGGTAATGTTGTGGTAAAGAGACAGAGTTATGGTCCAACCCTCACCTCTTAACACTCGATCAGGACTATTTAAGGCAGTATTTTATGAGACCATAAGTTATAGTTATGAGATAAAAGAGGTAAAAAGGCAAATTTATGAGACAGACAGTTACAGTTATGACTTCTATGCCCCATAATTTTGATTTTCTGAGAGTACGAATTATAATCAAAGTCCTAAACGTTAACTGTCTCATTATTCGTATTTTTAACTGTAGAATTCCAACATTTGTTTCATTATTTCAACTCCTCAGATTATGACCATTTCATTAATAACTGCGAGTTTCCTTCTGATGATTTACAGTTTTATCTCACCATTTGACCTTTTTATTTCATAATCATGTCTCAGTTTTCAAGATGTTCTTCCGTTATGGCCAAATGTCCCTCCTTTTTGAAATGTATTGATTAGTTTATTCATCATGTGCCTTTACTGGTTTGCATATTCATGTAAAAACACGGTGTAAATCTGCAGAGTTGGGATTATTTTTAGCCGACAGAGCTGTAAAACTTCTTTTGAAAGAAAACAGGAATGTTTCTGAAAAGTTTAAGGATCAAATTTCTGCTTTTAAGTAGAGTCATAAATAATCCAGACGTTTGTGCAATCTCTTTAATTCTTCTTTGGTTATCTAGCTTTCCATTACAGTGTCAGTGTAACTAATGACATCACTTTGGAGAGATTTTTTTCCCTTTTTTTATCCACTTTTTAGAAAAAAGTACCTCCTACTCCTACAGCAGACTGAGAGCAGCAGGAATTTCAGGAGGTTTTGGATTTGAAAGCCGTTACCAGGGAGGACGATGGATGAAACGTCTGGATCTGCAGGAGGACCACATCCCTCTGCTGAGGAGCGAAACGTCATCCTGCAGGAATGAGAAGTCTCCTACAGAAACATCCCTGCAGTTGAAGTGGTTGTCCTCTGGTCTCCATGCAAACTGAGCTGGTTTCTGGACAGCTGGGGTGGAAACGTGGTCCTGGCGGCTCCGGCCTCTCTGGCACAGCGAGCTGTTTTCTGATCCCAGCGTTCCCAGAACGTTTGAACAGCGCTGCCGTAGTGATTGATGGAGCTATTCTTATTTCTGTGACCCGTTACGTAAAAACACAGTCAGACCCTAAAAATAAGAGCCGGCTTTTCAGGACCACCATTGTTTGCTTTAGTACAGGAGCAGGAATCTGGATCCATCAGTCACCGCCCCCCTAAATTAGTCACATTAGCATGGTGGTGTGCAGCTGTGGGTGTCGATGTGATTCTGTTAAACTGAGCCGACGGGAAGAGAGGACAGGATACAGTGAATGAGTTAAACCAACATGAGCAGAAATAGAAAAGGGAGCTTTCCAGGAAAACAAAAGTCACGTGGTCCGCTGGAAGTGTCCCAGATCTGGATTTCCTCCAACATGTTGCTGCTGAAGAAGATTCAGAAAGTTGATCAGATGAGGCAGCTTTGTTTTGGATTGATTCAGACTTAAGGTGAATCTCCAAAAGAGTTCAAAATTTGACTTTTTTTTGGTGGTGTGCATATCATTAAAATGTTGTCCCTGTAGGATTTCAGCTGCTCACAGTTCAGGGTCTTCTTAGTCCAATTTGTTGTAGCATGATGCTCCAAATGTTTTCAGAGGGCGACAAATCAGGACTGCAGGCAGGTTCTTTAGTTCTAAGCGGGACTGGGTCTAGAGTTGAAATATATAGCCTAGGGTTAGACATCGTCAGTGTAAGGGGGCGTGGTCATTATCTGAGGACGTGTTTAAAAACTACTCACAGTCTTGGCCTTACCTCAGTCCTTGTTATGGTTGTGTTTGAATTTAGGATGAAGAGAGTCCAGAGCTGCACTGTAAATTGGAGATAAATGGCGTCTTAGGCCTCCCCCTCTGTTCAGGGATAGTTTGTCCAGCTTGATGTATTTGGTATGTTGATGTAGAAACATTTAAAATTTCACAAAGTTAGCAAACTTTTTTGTAACGGGGTATGAAATGACAAAGCTTTTCTTAAAATGTTTTTTTTTTTTTGATTCACCAGATGTCTCGATCAGCATCTCACTCAAGCTCTGTTTCTGGACACATAAGTTTATCTATTAACCAGTAATTTTATGGTGCAGTTAAAGCACAATGAGAGACTTGTAATCTGACTCACACAGAGGAACTTGGCATAATGAGACAAGGAGGAAGTTTAACAATAAATTGATAAACCAGAGGATAACTTGAAGACACTTTTCACTTCCTAAAGTTTACTTCCTCAACATTCAGAAATAAATGGTCAGCGTTTTTTTAGTGCAACCGTCAAAAAGAAGAAACTAAAGTGGCTGTGAACTTCATACAGAAACTAACGGACTCTCATAATCTGACTCAGAAAACACGTCTGTAACGGCTGAGAAATGATCCTAGTGAGTGTTTTATGGTGATCAGACAGATTTGCCTATGTTTCCAGTCTGCCTTAGATAATACTTTAATTTTTTCTGCTAAATTTACATTTTTTAATACTAACTAACTTTCCACAAAGAGTTTCTCCACCTTCACTGTTCAGACTGTCCAGTTTGGGTTTAAGGATGTTCATTATCTCCCCAACATGACTTTTATGAGCTCCTGAATTCATGGTTTAATAACTAGAGTTCTTTATCAGGGTGGAGTAGAAACCCTCCCCTCTGTATCCTGCTGCTGGACCACAAGCAGGATCAGTAAATATTTACTCTCCTGTTGATGGTTTGTGGTGTAAAAAAGTAAGATTTGATTGTTCAGTTTACCGTTTGACATTTCCAGTCTTCATTAGCAGAGTGCATCCTACAGCGTGTCGCTGCAGCAGGACCTGAACTCATCCCTCTGCATGCTGAGACCCTATTAGTCAAATGTGTAATCTCCTAATGCGTCTGAGAGAGACCAGGTTCTGACAGTAGACGTATGTGAGAACCGTCAGACCTCCACAGATCTGCAGATTCACCTTGACCCAGCATGCATCTGTGCAGAGATAACCGGCAAACACGTCGTTTATGCTGAAGACTCTAGACCTGACAGAATCTAATCCTGATTTCTATCTTTATATTTAAATCAGATTCTATATATTTCTTGGTCAGACTTTTTGTCCAATTCCAACATTTTCCATTGTACACTTGAATTTTGTATTTTTAATATTTTGAGGTTTCATCTTTACATCAGCAGTTTCTTTTTTTACACAAATGATTTCACACCTTTTATAATTCAGTTGTTGGTACATTGGTGTTAACAGGGATCTTGTGTGAAAAAGGTGATCATGAAAAGGTCACTTTTTAGCTGCCCTTGAACCTTTTACTCTCTGTAATACTAATAATTCTGAAATTGTTAAAATTCATTTCTCAAACCTTTTAACAACCTTTTAAAGTTTCCACATTTTAACTTCACCCTCAAAATTATCTCTGTTTCAGTTTACTTATGTTCTAAAATTTTCACATTTGATAATCAATTTTTTTTCATTTCAGTGACTTTACAAAAGTCATCTCTAATTTTCACATTTTAAACTATTTAAAAGATTTTATCAAACTTTGATTTCAACATTTTATTCTTTACTGTAAAAGTTTCTTGATTGCAGTTCCTCTGAATTTTTCCTCATTTCAGATTTATCCGAGAAATGTCAACTTTGATTTTGATAAAATTTGATCTGAAGTTTTCCTTTTTAATTTCATTTTAGAGAGCTCAACTTTAAAAACTTGTAATTTTATGATTTCATCCTTTAATGTTTCTTGATATTGATTTTACTATCAAGATTTGACCTCCTGATTTCAATCTTAAAGAGTAATCTGACATTTCAGTTTTTCACTTAATATATGAAGGATTAATTTAGAATTAGTGATATTTCGCTCGAGATTAGACCTTTTACATCAGTTGTATTATTAAGATATTGAACTGATGAATGTTTAACATGAAAACCTTTTTTGCTTCATTGATGGTATTTTATGTTTTCCTTTGATAAGGACTTTTAAAGTCACACATGCATTTCCTTGAGAGTTTTTGAAACACTCTTTCTCACCTCTGGTACACACTGATTTTTGAAATATGAGACTTCATGTGATTGCAGATGGTAAATAACTTCCTCCTCGTGTTTTTTTTTCTTCCTTTATTTTTGAACCCCAAAGTTTTTCTCTTTCGCTGTCAAGTTTGCAACCACTGACTCACCATCATGTCGACACTCTCTGTTCCTCAAACCTTTGCTCCTCAGGCTGATGAGAGGAAACATGCTTTCATTTCAGCTTACGCTTCTTATCTTTTGTTTTTGCTGTGCAGGTAGTAATTATCAAGGGGTCTGAAGGTCTTTAACGGATCAGACTCGCCTGTTAAAGATAAGAAAATCCTCCTGATTCACTGAACCACGGAGATACCAGAGACTTTGGACTAAAGCTTTTAAAGATCCTTAAAAATACCACAGAGGCAGTGAAATCACAGAAACACCACCAGAGCCTCAGTTCACTTTCACTCCACATTAAACTCCTCAGTTTGCTCATCTTGTGAATTCCCTTCACGACAGAACTCCCTTGGAGGTTCCCATCAGCTCCCTGAAACATTAACCCAGATTCTGCTAATGTACCCTGCAGGAAATGAAACCGGCGTGACCTTCAGTGTTCACTCAGTCTCCGTTCACCCATTTTTTTCCCTTTTTTTTTCCTTTCAAATTGAGATTGCGAGAGGTTTCAAACTGACTGGAACATGATTTTATTGTCTGTAATCTTTTTTTTAATTTGGCCGTGAAATCATTTACAATCAACTCAAGATGCTTGTGAACAAATATTTGCATTAAAAACAGACAAGACTCTGTCGCAGAAATCACTGCATCTGTAAACACACTTCATCTCTGCATCCAGAATTTTGAAAACTATCCTTAGGTCTTAATAATCCAAATTTGACTTTATTTTTTGGACATCATGAATCTTATATCTTCTACCCTGAAAAGGAAAGCACATAAAAACATGATCCAGGAACACCAGAGACTTCTCTGGACCAAAATGAAAATCGGTGTCTGCATGTCTGTTACAGTCTTCAGCATAAATGATGTGTTTGCCGGTTATCTCTACTCAGATACATGCTGGGTCAAGGTGAATCTGCAGATCTGCGGAGGTCTGACGGTCCTCAGATACGTCTACTGTTGGAACCTGGTCTCTCTGAGATGCATTAGGAAATTACACGTTTGACTAACAGGGTCTCAGCATGCAGAGGGATGAGTTCAGGTCCTGCTGCAGCGACACGCTGCAGGATGCACTCTGCTAATGAAGACTGGAAATGTCAAACTGTAAACTGAACAATCAAATTTTACTTTTTTACACCACAAACCATCAACAGGAGGGTAAATATTTACTAAATATCTGGGTCAGATTGTGGTCCAGCAGCAGGATACAGAGGGGAGGATTTCTACTCGACCCTGATAAGGAGCTCCAGTTATTAAACCCAGTTTGATTCAGGAGCTCATGAGAGTCAAGATGGGAAGATATTGAACATCCATAAACCCAAACTGGACACTCTGAACAAAGAATGTTTTGTCACTTATTGATGACACAAAAACAGGAGCTGCTAAAATCCTGAATGAGACGATGCAATCTTTCTGTAACTTCACACCAAAGCTCTCATTTTAATCACAGCTTGTGGATGAATTGTTAATCGTCACATCAATTTGTGTTTTAAACTTTTCATTCTTGCTCCTCTCATGGCTCACATCCTGACTCAACCCTGACTCATGGATGAAGGTGTTGATGAATTGGAGCCAGCTGTCTCTAACAGCTCTCTCTGCCAGCTGTAATCTCATCTAACTACTGTACATTCATTTAATTACACAGGACGTGTGCTGTTAAAGACGTACGGCTCCCCGCAGAGACGAGACGAGTCACTGATCCTGGACCAGCGTGAAGAAGACACACAGCGGATAATTTAATGAGACAAATCAGGTTAAATTCAATCAGAGCTGATGCTGCTGCAGAGTCCAACACGTCCACCCTAGGAAACAGGAACACTGCTACTGCTGCAGGTGCCTCTGGTTCAGAAACTGGTTTCAGCTTCACTATAAGTCCTACATTATCAGTCTGTGTCACATGTTCAGTTCAGGCCTGAGGTAATCACACTCATGTCCTAATTTCACACTGGTTTGGAAAAGATTTGGAGCACATGCATGCAGCATTGTCACACAAATTTCAGATGTACCAGTTTGCATGTTAAAGGGACCTTAAGTGTCTGTAAAGGAGTGCACCAATACACCAGTTCTTACAAATTTTTGGAGCACTGCAATTTTTTTTAATCCTATCTAAAAATATAGATTTATGCTTTTAAAGGTACATTTCCCCCCCGTGATTGATATCAGTCCATGCTGACCCCTGTCCACTGCTGAAAGCTTCTAGAATGGACACCTGAGCATCACAACTGGACCACAGAGTGACGGAAGAAGTCAGCCTGGAGGAACACGATAATCAAACCTCTTAACCCTGCAAACCAGGCCTCACCTCACAACTTCCAGGACCTGAAGGATTTGCTGCCTTGATCCAGTGGAGTCCATGTTTCATTAGGACCGGCCCTGCTGGAAATCAAGGACTGGAAAAATGAGTCGTTCTCGCAGCCCCTCTCAAACTAAACATGCTTTAAAAAAAAAACTTGAAGCTCTCCTTATCAGCAGCTGAAGGTTCACACTGAAGCTAACATGCCGCTGGTGTTCCTCAGACTTTCTGATGTTTGTTTGTACTGCTGACCTCAGCATGTCGGCCATTTTTCATGTCAGACTCTTAAGTTCTCCAGAACCGCACAGATGTAAAAACACCGCTGACATTTATTTTAATGACAGGCGAAAGCTTCAGAGGGTGGGAAAATGCTCCATACACACAAACTATGGAGGGCACTGGTTGGTGGTTAATGGGACTCAGCGTACACCAGTGAACCGTTCATTGCAAACAAACTGGTGTATCCAATAGTAACCAGAGAGGAGGGTCATGTGTGGTGACAGTTCTCACGGCGTGTCCCGTCTCAAATGAACACAGTACCACCAAGACAAGAAACCGTAACTAAAATAATAGACATTAACCGCGACATGCATGGAGCCTAGAGATATTAAACTTTAGGAGAGAGTCCAAAAGCTGGCTTCACTAACAGCCAATCACAGAGCCTCTGGAGTAAGAATTTGTAAAGCCAACTCTAAAGCACCTGTACCTTGTACAACGAAGCAGTTGGAGTTAGTGATGGAAAGAACAGTTCTTTTGACTGTATGGAATCTTTAGAATCTATTGATTAAAATGATTAGTTCAAAAGATTCGTTCACTGAATCAGTCATTGTTTCATAGCCCCATCCTTTTGAGTGCAGTACACAAGTGAGTGACACAGCGGCACTGATTGGGCATTCGTTCATTGAACTGCTGAAGTCACAGCTTCGTTTACTGCGCAACACATGCCGTTTATTCACAGTGAGCAGATCCCGAGACTCCGTCCCCCCTCTCTCTGGCTGGCTGGGCATTGTTCGCTAAAGAGTCAAAAGCGGCAGTTCCACTCCCGACCGGCACGCCACGCTCGCAGGTCTTGGGGTGATTCCATTCACGTCGTTCACTCAGCAATTTCGATCTTTTGTACTAATTGTTCATGACCGACACAACATGACACACAACCGGATTTGCCCGCTTTAGCTTGTTTCATTGCTGCTCTGCTTCATCTTGTGTGTCAGGGTTAATTTCAGAAACTGTTCCCCTCATCAGTCAAGCACAAACAGGGCCCAGGTTGAAAAATACCGAAAATCCCCTTTGACCTCTGGGCTGTTTTTGTGATGTTAGAGCTTTTTGTAGATTTAACATGAATAATCTGTTTGTCTGTGTGCTTTATTGGCTTTTAAAAACATTGACCTTGTCTCATGTCCAGTTTTTTAAACTCAGTGAAATAATTGTTTTTGAGCCCAAAGCACATGTCCGGTCTTTTTCCAAAGAGAGAAACCTCCCGCTCCTAAAATTAGAACTGCGATGTGGACTTTAACTGCCTGCAGAGCATTTTAGAGAAACAGAAATAGAGCTGAACTCTGAGCTGATGATCTTCTCTCTTTCAGATGAATGTGACATTTAAGGTTTTACTGCAACATGTGACTGCGCAGGGTGACCTCATCACAGACGGTATGCAGCGTTCCTGTGCTCGAGGCCTCGCAGACGTCCTGCAGTCCAACAGGAAACAGAAACCTGGACCGAAGCAGAGACGTGGAGCTGCCAAAGAATCCACCGGAGAACCACAGAGACATTTAAAAACGCTCACAGCTCCTGCTATGTGTGTGTGTGATGCAGGAAATGAGGTAGTGGCAGACTGCAGAGGTCATACAGGCAGCTGAAGTGAGGATTTCAGAGTGAGTCAGACGATCAGTGGCTGATGAGTCAAACACACAGACGGAGTTTAAATTGGAGACGTCCAAAAAGAAGTTTGGAAATGTTGCATCATTAAATCTTAAAGCTCTGCTGCTGTCCTCTCGTTGCCCCTCAGGCCTCTGGAGACTCCTCTGAGTAGATAAAGACTCTCCAAGACCAAACACTGAGGACCTTTGTCACATTGAAACATGAAGCAGGCAGAGGAGATGATGCAACAGGTTTAAAGAGGAGCATGAAACAGCTGATCCACATGCTGAAACTAGACTTTCTCTGACCAAAGCAGAATCATATTTGTTTAAAAACAGCTAGAGGAGAAATCCAAAACGAAGAGATGCATCTTCAGTCATGATCCAATAAGTTCAGCTTCATTAATAACTCAGGCTATAAGAAGATCAAGATCAAGACTCTGATGTGGCACTAATGGTTTTTGTATTTATATAGCGCCAATTCACAACAGTCGTCATCCCAAGATGCTTTTCAAGGAACAAGAGCAGGTCTAGACCACGCACACTGATGAATGATCAAGACCCAACCTAAGATGGGAGGAGGGAGAGGGAGAGAGGGGACAGTAGCAACATTAAAACAACAGCAACAACAACAGCTTGTGCAATGGTGAAACAGAATGAATTCAGTTTACAGGGTTAGGATATGAGTAATTATGGACAATGTTAATTTAATGTGATTACAGTCAGCAGGCCTAATAGGAACCCAAGAGAAGATGGAGCTCAGGGCCTGAGGCGGACAATCATAAACGATGCGGCTGGGTAAAGTCGTAAAAATTGACAAGCCTGACTCCAATATGTGAACTTTAGTTGCATGTGCTCATCTCCGTTCTCTTTTCAGTTTCCTACTTTACAGAAAACTCATCGGCCATTTTAAAACAGACAAAAAATTACATCAAAGTTATTAAATTATACACCTAAATTGTTGGTAGGTACCGGCTCTGATTTTTACAATCAGTGTGTCTCTAATTTGTAACTTCACTTTCTTTTAGCTCTGCTTCCAGGGTTTCTTTTCACTTTGACATTATTATGATTGAAAGAGGACTGTTATGCTGAAAAAGTTGACCAATCAGTTCATCTAATAATAATATTTAGTTTAATTCCAGCATTAGATTTTCATGATCATGCAGTCTAAAATCACCAGCACTGAGGTGGATTTCTTCATGGGTTTACCTTCCTGTTCAACTGCAGGAATAATTCCTCAATGACTCCCTCACACTCTCTCTTTCTCTGGGATGCAAATCTGTTTTTTCCTTTTCATGTCATCTCTCTCTTTTTTTTTCATTTTCCGTCACTGCTCCCCCGGGCCACTCCATGGGAAAAGAAACTTTTCCTGCAGCCCTGAGAGGAATCCAGCTATTTTCGGAGAACACGTCACTGCTTTGAGCTGCAGCCCAGAAACTCTCCTTTTTCCATCATGCACAGCTCGTTTTTTTCTTCTTCTCTGTACTTGTTGCACAGCCCAGCTCTGTTTACCTTTTTATGCACAGACACGCTGTTCAGAGATTCTTCATTTTCAAATCAGGAAAGACGAGAATATCTCTTGTTTTTTACGCACAATAAGCTCACACGCCTGCAGCGGGCAGAGTAGAGACATGACGGATCCTGCAAGTCGTGCGCAACTTGTGGAGCAGCTCGGCGGCGTGCAGCAGGCTGGTGTGGAAACGTCAGCAGGGTTTCGTGTTGAAGCGGCTGCGGCGTGACATTGCAGGGACTCTTTGTGTCTCCGTGTGTCATCTGTGGAGGGAAGGATGCGTGGAAGGAAGAGGACGAAGCTCTGAGCTACAGGTATTCATTCAAAGCATGAGTGAAAAATCACCATTTAGGGTGTTTTTTTGCATGGAATTGACATGTTTTTGCGCAACATTCTGGAGCTGCGCACGTTTCCAGACGGCTTCATTCACAAATGCATGTTCATGTGTGCAAACATAGAGTCATATTTCATCATAAACAACAACTCCAGTCATAACCTTGAGCCTGTGCCACGCTGGAGACAACAGGTTCATTACGCACGACTCTCCGTGTGCAATCAAAGCCTGAAAATGCCCCAATTTCATCTGGATTCGATGATGTTTGCTGCGTGTATGCTCTAAAAACACCTGATCACCTTAATTATGAACATACGCGTGTGCATGTGTGTGTGTTTTTGTTTCCCCCACAGTGAGAGAGCGTGCACACACACGTCAGCTCGGGGAGGGCAAAGCCTGCTTAAGATGCAGTGAATGTGACAGCCGAGACCAGACTACAGCAAGCAGCGCGTGGACGGGGAAAAGGTGAGCGTGGAGGTGGTGGCGGGGGGCACGAAAATGCCAGAGGAGCAAGCGCACCCGCAGACGTGACGAAGACACACCGAGGAACAAAGGAGGACGGCACGCGGAGACTCTCGGCTGGTTTCCCGAAAAATACGCGTGGGGGAGGCTGAGGGGGAGCAGAGAGGACTGAGGAGGGACGCGGCGCCCTTGCTGTCTGGGGGAGAAAGATGACAGTGGTGCCAGCTGAGAACCTGGATGAGACTGTGGCACTGGCCGCGCTTTCGGCCCAGGATGTGTACGACCCGGAGCGCGTGGAGAACCAGGAGTGCTGCGAGCGCGTGGTCATCAACATCTCCGGGCTGCGCTTCGAGACGCAGCTGAAGACGCTGGCCCAGTTCCCCTGCACACTACTGGGGGACCCGAGGAAGAGGATGCGCTTCTTCGACCCACTGAGGAACGAGTACTTTTTCGACCGGAATAGACCAAGCTTTGATGCCATCCTCTACTACTACCAGTCCGGGGGGAGGCTCCGGAGACCCGTCAACGTGCCCGTGGACATCTTCATGGAGGAGATTAAATTCTATGAACTGGGAGAGGAGGTGATTGAGAATTTTAAAGAAGATGAGGGCTTCATTAAGGAGGAGGAGCGGCCGCTGCCCGAGAACGAGTTCCAGCGGCAGGTCTGGCTCCTGTTCGAGTACCCGGAGAGCTCCGGACCCGCCAGGGGGATCGCCATCGTCTCCGTCCTGGTCATCCTCATCTCCATCGTCATCTTCTGCTTAGAGACTCTACCTGAGTTCAGAGAGGAAGCCAAACCGATTGACGAGCAGCTCGCGCTGAACGGAACCACGCGCGCAAAGAAGCCGAACCCCTTCACTGACCCGTTTTTCATCGTGGAGACGCTCTGCATCATCTGGTTCTCCTTCGAGCTACTGGTCCGGTTCCTGGCCTGCCCCAGTAAGCCCGCCTTCTTCAAGAACATCATGAACACCATCGACATCGTGGCAATCATGCCCTACTTCATCACGCTTGGGCTGGAGCTCGCGGAGCACCAGGGGAACGGACAGCAGGCCATGTCTCTGGCCATCCTCAGGGTCATCCGCCTGGTCCGGGTCTTCCGGATCTTTAAGCTCTCCAGACACTCAAAGGGTCTGCAGATCCTCGGGAAGACCCTGCAGGCCAGCATGAGGGAGCTGGGACTGCTCATCTTCTTCCTCTTCATCGGGGTCATCCTCTTCTCCAGCGCGGTCTACTTCGCGGAGACGGACGACCCGGAGTCCGGCTTCAGCAGCATCCCGGACGCGTTCTGGTGGGCCGTGGTTTCCATGACAACCGTGGGTTACGGGGACATGTGCCCGGTCACCATCGGCGGGAAGATCGTTGGCTCTCTGTGCGCCATCGCCGGAGTGTTAACCATCGCGCTCCCGGTGCCCGTCATCGTCTCCAACTTTAACTACTTCTACCACCGGGAGACCGAGCACGAGGAGCAGTTCCAGTACACGCACGTGACATGCGGACAGCAGCAACCGACGTTTGGGGAGTTCAAGAAGAGCGACAGCAAACCGAGTCTGTCCAAGTCCGAGTACCTGGGCAGCGAGGACGCGGACTCCATCAAGTACACCAACTGCAGCCCGCACAAAGCCTACACCGGGAAGCTCACCGACGTCTGAGGGGACCTATTACGCATCAGTGGCGCACGCTGAGGGGGGTCTCTCAGCGCCGCATCTCCTGCTCTGCTTTGAGCTCCTTATTTCTTGCCATCACAGGGATTCATTTCAGTTACACAGAGGATGGATTATCTCAGACTTCACCGTTTCTCCACCTGAAACTGTCTTCCATTACGCGCGTCATGAGCAGGGAGAGCTCTGAAGGATCAGCCTGTAGCCAGCTGTAGCACTTTATTATTCGTATCATTGATGCTTCTCGTAGTAAAAGCCTAATTTATTACCCAAATGATGCAGGTTCAAAGTTTACATTTCCTTTCTGAGACGCAACAGGACCAATCTGATCTAAATTTACGCTCTGATCCAGGAGGCACATGGAGGCTGTTTTTGTTTTGGTCCCACACTTACACACACTCAAACACACACACCTGTTATTTCACCCTCATGTACTTTCCACTCAGGCTCAGATGATGTACACCAAAATTAACCCGCTTTGATGCCAGGTTTTATTTTAACCCTCCGGCTGCAGCACAAACAGCCTGCCAGACAAAAATCAGGGCACGTGCTGCTGGTTTCTGACGTGCAGGTTTAAACGTTCAAACTCCAGGAGGTGAAATCCTCCTCAGCAGCCTGCATGCAGAAATGTTATGAAATACGAGGCAGCTTTTCCCAAGCCAAGAGCGCCCCCGTGAGGATGAAGTGAAGCTCTGCATCTCTCTTCTTGTGATGCAGTTTCTATAGCAACCTTCCAGACTTTTCTGTATTGTCTGCCACAGGAGGGGAAAAGGAAGCTGGAGCTGAGGAGAAGTGGCTAGAAAACCACCATGTTGTGGAAGCCTCCATGTTGTTTGAGTCAGTCTGACTCTGTTCAGACTTTAAATCTGATTGAATTTAACAAATATGAGGCTGATGTTTGACCTCTGGTCCATGCACCTTAGTCCCGTGGAGAGTACTATCCATTTGAGGGGTCCAAACTAAACTTTCACTCACTATTCTTTGAATTCTCCTTTATTCTTGGCATACAGTGTGTCTCAGAGACCAAAATTAGAGGTTCAATTAGTAGATTCCACCAACTTGGAAACCCCTAAACTGATTCAGTGAAAGGCAGAAAGCAAAACCTCTCATTTTTGAGTGGGAAAAGATCATAATTTTAAATCGGCAAACATAACTCTGCACAGACACCCTTACTTTGCAATATTATGCACAGAAAGATAGGACAGATTTATTTATTATAATGACATTACCAGTGCTGCAAGTGATCTAAAAATGTTTAATTATTCAAACAAAACAAATTTCCCCAAAAGCAGACTAAGTTGAAATCAGATAAACTGATCAATATTTTAACACATGCACAAATCATTTCCAAACAAACTGATCAGAGTTAAGTCAGGGAAAAGTGAAAAGAAGTTGAGCTGGTGTATTTGAAGTTTCCGTAATGAGCCATTAAAGCACCTCACTCATCAGGACTCTCCAGGACTTGTCTGGACTCCAGGAGTTGTCATTCCACCAAACCTCATGGAAAAAAGTTTGGATTTAACAAAGTGGGGGAGTTAAAGACTGAGAGGCCTACATTGTTATTGTCCTGTTTATTGGATTATAAACTGATGGACTGATGGAATTAAACTGCTGAGTCATCGACACACAGACCAACAGATGGACGATGACTAATGGATTCAGACCACTGCAGGCCCGCACGCACAGAGAGGTGAGTCCAACCTGCACCACCATAATCTTCAAACTGCTAATCCTAACTCTTATTAAAATGTTTTTGACTTTTAAGTCTCTTTCAATCCACTTATCGAATTCCTGTTCGTGCAAAACTGTTTTTAGGTCACATTATTTTCATTAGCTACTTCAGTTCCCTCCTTTTGCTCCATTTATCAGCGACACAGAGCTGCAATCACATAATAGTCACAGCAGAAGCAGGTCACCGTCCTTTATACTATTAATATGCATAATCTCTTCCAAGCATGCATTATTTTTTATTGATGTGCACACCCAAATTTAACCAAATAATGTTACTTTTGCATCTCAAAGTGTTCCTTTGTTTTGCATAAGTTGTTAAGGAAAGTGAAATTTCATATAAACTGGAGAAATCATGAGCAAATTGCTATTTTATTTTTATTACACATGAAATGACTATACAAAACATTGTGCAATAACAGGAGCCAGGATAAAACAGACTTGTAAGTGAAATTCAACAGCAACAAAACATGAAGTTTAATGATAATAAAAGGCCAAAAACCTTTAAAGGCCCATTGATAGTTCCTCACTAGCAAGAAACATTTAACAAGACATAACCATGTCCCAAACTATCAGAATATTTCAACTGGAGTTTAATTGTTTTGAGTTATTGCAAAAATCATCTAATATTTTGAGATGCATAGTAATTGCAATTTTCCTGCACCTTTGTATGAGACTTACTGGGATTCTCATGGATATTAGCAAACATATTTCCGTGCAAACATGTCTCCCGTGCAATATCCCTCTGTGATATTTCATCCTGCCCAAGCCATAAAACATCACATGCTTTGTGCAAAATGAGGGTAAATTTTTCTAACTAAACAGTATAACCCAAAAATCAGGAAAAATTGTACATTTTGTGCAGTATCTAAAAGTTTGATGATCATTTCTTTGATCCTTTTTATTGCCCTGTTTACCTTTCCTTTTTTATTGATCACTTTTATTCCTGGATATACTCATATCTTTTTGTGAGCTGCTGTATCGATTGAATTTCCCATCAAGTCTTAAAAATATTAAATTTTCTGCAAAAATGGGTGAGATAGTTTAAATCAAAGCTGCATGTGGCTGTTAGTGTCCACTAGGGGGCAGTAAAAGACGCCTTAAACAGTGCATTGATGACTTATCAGCTTGTTTTGATCAGAAGTCCAACATTTGTTGTTTTTATTTGTTCCTAATTTTGGTCTCCACAGATTTTCTCATCTAAAAGAGATCTGCAGAGTTCAGCTTTGATGATAAGTCAAGTGTGTGGAGACAAGTTCTGCAAATACTCTTCATTTTGTTGGATTGAGACTGTTTAGATGTAGAGTAAACGTCATAGAGTAATACTATTATATTACTATACTACATTTGAAGCAGAGAGCTTTCATTACTGATGGGTTCAGTTAAGGCTGCAGTCTCCTAACGTCAGTTCTTTTGAAAAGTCTCTGAGATTAAACTGATGCACAATGACCTTGAAGCCTTTTGAGGCCTCTTAAAGCCTTTTGCACCTGCGCTTTGGTGCTTTGACACCTTCAGTTTAAAGATTGTCTCTGCAGAAATTCGTTGCACAAATGATCTCAAGATTAAAAGAAACTTACGACTCTTAAATCACAAGACCTAAATCAAAATTTCTAGCTTTTTTTCTTTTAGTGCAGACAGTGTTTATTAGAGAGTGTTAGAAATGTAAATGCTGTTCACAAAAATGCAAAAATTTTGTTGATGGAATAGTTGATACAATAGCTAATACTGAAGTTAAATACTCTGTTTCTTTTGATAAATGTGAATTTTCTCCGACGGCATTTAACACACACTCTCTAAAGCTTCACTGACACTAAGACACCACTATCCCCTCTGTAGCTGTTAAAACCACATTACTTTAACCTGTAAGTGCTGCTGACAGGTTTGTCTGACTACGTTTTAGCGCTGCAGTACAGCTGTGAGCCTGCAGGGGGGAGCAGCTGCCGCAGAAAGTCCGCTCTGTGCAGCTGTGAGGAGACAGCACAGCTGGATCGGTTCAGTCCGCTGCCTCACAGATACAGGACATCCTCTCTGCTGCAGCTTCACTCACAGTTTACATTCACATTAATTATCTTTACTGATAAAGAAAGTGGACAAAAGTAAACGGACGCCCTGAATACTCTTTTTTTATGGTATTAACCTTCAAGAGGAGCTGGTTTCTTTTTTAGCTTTAGGTGTTTTGATTAAAATATGTTTTGGTTTAGCTTGTTTGGATGAAAGCTTTCAGTCAACTCTGGTTTGACTGACTGAACTTCTTTGTCCTTTTGGTCTTCTTCCAAACAGAGAAGTGAGATTAAACTGGCGCTGTTCATCTTGGTTTGCTTGGTTGTGCCCCAGCTTTTTAACTAGTTTTACAGGTCGGCTACAGGACTAAACACAGAGATGGAGTCTCTTCGTAGAGTCACGTCACTTTCAAAGAACCCTAAAAGTAATTTGCAAAAACCTTTTCACACAGATATTAAGAAAGTCTACCATTTACTCTCCCTCTTTCCTCCCTCTCTGAGTTCTTTGCTCCTCTTTTGTGTCTCAGCTCTTCTAACTTCCCTCACAGCAGCTGCTCAGACTCTCACTAACAATGACTGACACAGGTGATTCAATTCACCTCATTAAGCTTCTCATGGGGCTCCACTTTGTATCTCTCACAGCTTGACCAACCTGTGCTCACTCAGCTGCTGGTTTAAAAGTCCTGCAGCAGCATTTAGAGCTTCCTCAGTCCTGGATCTGATGGTTAAGTGGTGAAATGCCTTTAGTCTAGTGGTGCATTAAACCGGGCTTGAAGTTAGGTCTTTTTTGGAGGGTGGTTGGTGTGTCTGGTGGCTAAAATATATCTGATTAGTGCTGAAGAGTCTGATAATGGCAGATGAATGAGATGTGGTGATTTTAGAGAGTTGGAGTAGCTGAAAAGTTAGGTGGTGTATCTGGAGGCGGGTTGGTATGTGACTGTAGGCTCTGGGACAGTTAGTGTATCCGGAGTCTGGTTGTTGAGGACAGTCAGCTGTGTCCGTTTGTTAGTTTGTGTCCCCGGCTCCAGCAGAGGGTGAAGGTGATGTTGGGAAAATTAAAATCCTGTTTGCATGGAGCTCAGGCCGCTCCTCTTCCTCCTCCACCTCACATCCACCACGTCCAGTTACGTAACGCAGCAGCTCATGTCAGCCTGAGAGAGGAGACATGACAGCTCCAACAGCATCCTGCTAAGTGACTGCATCCCCGCTCTGAGGCTTTTTGGTCCAAATCTCCTCCCATGTAGTCCCCCACCTCCCTCCCTCCTGTCCTGTGTGTCCTCTCTGAACATATGCGGGCGGTGCAGGCGGAGGTAAACAGGTTTCCCCTTGGATGACACTGCTGCTGTTGACGGGGCAGAGTTACACTCTGACAGCTATTGTTAGCGTCTTTGTCAGCGCTGAGGGAATCTGTCCTGAAGCCCAGAGTGGCCTGCAGTGAGTTACATCAACCCCCCACCTAACATGCACCCAACCCACTCCTTTTTCCACTTCATGACAGACAAACAGGCTGCGACCGAAAGCAGAAGAGTGGAGGTAAAGATGGAGGACACTGCAGAGAGAGGCGGCAGAGTTAGCGGAGGAAATCCTGGAAGTAAGAAGGAGTTTGAGTCGACTTAAAACAATCACCTCCATCAAGTTCTCAGAGCTCTAAACGGTTCTATCAAAATCCTCAAATTTAAACCAGGTCCTTTGCTTGCTTTTTCCGCCAAAGACAATCCGTCAGTTAAATTTTAAAGGTGATATTCGTCTGTATTCACAATCTTTAAATAAATTAGTTGTCTCTGCACGACGACTCATTCATAAATACATGAGAAAAAGCTCCCATCGATTCGGAGTACACTCGTGTGAAATCAATGATTATTTTTAACCCCTCTGTTTGAATCTCAGCCTGTCAGTTCAGCTCCATGTGAGCGGCCGATGGCGGTCAAAGGTCAGCGTTATTTAAAGGCTCTGATGTCACTCTCGCTGGATGAATTACAGTCACGAGACCTCCGACAACAACGACGGCTAACTGTCAGTGACAGCAGCTGCCGGGCCGCGGTCGCCATGGTGACGGGACACACACGTACACACTCTGATTCCACTGAAGAAGAAGATGTGGTGTTAACAGCTGTTGAGATTCAGGAGTATTAATTTAGTTTAAGTGATCGAAGCTTAGTTTAGACGATGCAATGACCAAGTTCCACCTTTTTGGCTCATATCAAATATTAATTAAATATGTTTAGAGTCTTCTCATAGCAACAGGGAATACTTCATTCTGATTGGCTGAAAATTAGAATTTAGATTTGAACCTTTTTCCTGGTAAACCTGGAATTTTATCAAACTCTCTCTGGACTTTTTGGAAGGTGATGTTGCTTTTCTGCAAAGGAAGTTTCAATTGTGTGTTCAAGATAATTAGCTGTAACAATTAGTTTGAATTAACTTATTGAAGTATTACTTTACATATAATAACACCTTTTACCCAATCACTTTATTTAGTGTTAATGCCAACAGACAAGCAGGAATCAGAGAGGTATCACTCATGTAAACAGATTTATTTACTGACTAAAATTATGCAGAATCATACCGGTTTGGACTAGGGCCGACCAATATGGATTTTTTGGGGCCAATAATGAAGGAAGACCGACTGATCAAATTTGGACCAGAAAAGCGTTTTTCGCCAATAAATCTGTCGGGCCCTAGTTTGGACACCTGAGCGTTAGGGTTAAGACTGATCAGGTAAGGTAAAGTTAAGATTAGGGCGAAATGGGCAAAGTGATGGTTAGATTGTGGTTAAGTTTAGGCTCAGGTTAAATCTTAAAGAACCGCACATCTGGTTTTGGAGAACACCTTTTCATAAATGAGATAGTTGAAGGTTTTAGTTTCAGCAGTTTGTTTGTGACAAATCAGGTCTGCAGCAAATATCAGGAAATAAAACATCATGACTTTGATTTTAAGCGTTCCCTGATCTTCCCGTATTTCCTCTTCCTGGAGATCCATCTATTTGAGGCGGATACTCCGCAGTTAAATGTGCATCCATGCTTTAAGAGGCCAGCTGATAGTACCTGAATCTGCTGCAGTGAAGTGAAGCTCAACAAACAGCAGAGAACATTTCTTTTTTCCTCTGGAATTTTAGACAAACCTTCGTGCAGCTCACAGCCACTCTGACGGCTTCTGTTTCTGGTCCAGATCACCGTCTGCTCACCTGTCTCGCTGCAGCTCATCACTTCCTGTCTGGAGGTTTTTTGTAGTCTGTGTCTGTGAAGAGCTTCCCACCAGTGTTCAAAACAGGGATTAAAGTGGGTCAGTGAAGAGAATGAACCTCCTGAGGCCCCAGAGGGTTTCATTTCAGAGGGCCTCAGCTGGTAGCAGCACAGAGTCACAGGTAAACAGGGATGGCTAGTCGTTTGTTCTTTTCTTTCATGACATAATCACCTCTTTTAAGGTATTCAGACATGCACATCTAAGATAGGACTTTCAAACTTCATTTCTGCTTCCAAACACAGTGGAAATACCCTATTTTTTCCTAAAAGTTTAGTTTTTTTGGTGATGGTTTGTCTGCAGGATTGACAAGAAAAAGCAGCAGTTTGTTTTGCACAAATTAGACAGTTTAAGGATAACAAAAAATGACAAAAAGGTGAATGTGAATGCATGCACTAGTTGTGAAAATGCCCGGAGTGCAGACATTTCTCACATCCTGCAGGACAGATCCATGTTCCTTGCAGGATTTCACACGCACACCATCTGTTTTGCAGGTCTTCTTTGTTTTCCTTTAGTCGTGCAGGTCAAACCGACCCCCCTCGGACGAGCTCGGCGTTGTCTGTCAGTATCATTAGCTCTGTCTCTCTTAGCTCTGCACGCCAACAGCTCGCCGCTCTCTGAGCTCAGTCAGGACAGAGTGAACAGGAGGTGATGGCTGCTGGTTTGTCCCGTCCTTGGCTCTGCTTCCTCAGCATGTGACTGTAGTGATGGAGATGGCCTGGAGTGTGTGAGTGAATGTGTGTGTGAGTGTGTGTGTCTGTGTGTAGTAGTAGTATGGTGTGTGCATGTGCGTGGGTGAGGGACAGAGCAGGACAGAGAAAAGAGGAATATATAGATCAGGACGTGCGTTTATGTCAACATGTAGGTGGTCTTGTGTTACTCGCTTCTACAAACAGAGTCTCAGATTTATTGAGTTTATCACCAGAAGAAAATAACAACTCAGTCATGATATGTTCTGTTTATTTAGTTTTCTCCTGGTTTTGGTCATTTGAGTATATTTTCTTTGTGTTTTCCCTCGTGTTCCTGTTCCCCTATAGTCCTGTTTGTGTCTGACCCTGTTTCCCTCATGTTCTCAGTGTCTTCATATTTTTTCAGTGTTTCCTGTTTTATTTTGTAGTAGTTTATTCACTGTGTTTCTAGCATAGACTGTATATAGAATGGACACTGTCTGCCTCCTCGCTGGGTGAAGCCACCGTGAGAACAGCACCCTCTGGTGACAGGCTGCAGTAAAGGTCATAAATCCCACCTCCTCCAGCAATCCCTATGGAGCTGTGGACAAACACCTGCTTCTCGTTGCTCGTTTCCCTGCATGTGTATATACAGTCCCTGTCTTCCCCTGTTTGCTTGTTGGTTCATTGTGTATGTGTGTGTATGTCGGGTTCAGTGTATGCTTAAGTCTCCATGTGGGTTTTCCCAGTGCCTTTTTGTTTATTTTGCCTTTGGGATTTTTGAGTCGAACATCATAAGTAAGTTTTTGTTGCGTCTTATTTTGTTTTTTTTCTAAATAACCCTCTTTTTTTTGGGTTCTGCATTTGGGTAGGGTGACCATACGTCCTCTTTTACCCGGACATGTCCTCTTTTTGGGGGGCTGTCTGGGCTTGTCCGGCTTTGTCCGGGGAAGTTTATAAAATCCTTCAAATGTCTGCAGTTTTGTACTAGTGATGGGCACGGCAGTTCTTTTAGATGCACTGAATCACTAGAATCAGTTCACCAAAAAGATTCACTCAAAAGATTTGTTCACCGAATCACTGAATCATTCAGCGCTTGGCGGGAGAAGCCTGTGACGCCGACCTCCTGAACTGATACACAGCTGAACGGTTCAGGATTCAACTCATTCAAATTCAACTTTATTTTTATGGCATTTTCAGACAAAAATGAAGTTCAAAGTGCCTCACAGAGGCTAAAAACAACAATAAACAACAATAAAACCCGACCCTCCCTCCCACCCACACACACACCCACCCACACTCATCCACAATTATTCACACACAAGCGCACTCAGTGTGAGAATTTAAGATATATTTTAGAATTTAAGACATGGCCTGACACCGAGACATTATGTGAGGAAAGAGCTACCTTTGGGAAACACTGGAGATAAAAGATAAAAAGTTAAAATGGTAAAAAGAAAGACTAAAACCTGATGGACTAAAACAAATAAATAATATTGTATGAACAGATAAGTAGGAGCTCTTCACCAAGAAAGTAAATAGAAGTAAAAAACCTCTATGACGGGAATTAAGAAAAAGACTAAAAACAGAGACAATTAATAAAATGACAGAAAATAAACATTAAGAACTTCAATTAAAATGAATATTTGCAATCAAATTTGCTAATCAAATGTTTTCTTCTTGTTTTCCAGGTGATGAACCATGACCCAAACCTCCACCTCCCCTTCCAACTTCTCATCTGCTTCCTCCATCATCCTTCCTCGTCTTCTTTTCCTCCATCCTTCCAGTGATCAAACTGAAACAAACTCTGGATTAAAACTCTGACACTCATAAAGAAACATGCAGCTATGAGACGCCTTTCCATCACCGAGGACACCCTGACTGATTTTTTTTGCTTCAGTTGGACTGTGAGGTACGACAAACGCTACTTGAATCACCCGTTAAACGTATTTATGACGCTAATGGAGTCCTCAGTGTGTTCATGAGTAGATGTAATTGGGAGATTTCCTCCTCGTGCTGTAGAGAAAAAGAACCTGTAAGTCCTGTCTGTACTCATGTCTGCATATCATAATCAAACCAAAACATATTACTGCATGCTTGGAAATTAGAGCATGTACAGAGAGGAGAAAGACTTTAATGTTGACGGCTCAAACTCAGCAATGCTAATCTGACACATGGGAACAACAACAACAACAACAACAGCAGCTCATCCATATATCGAGTTCAGTTCAGTCGCTGTGGCGGGGTTGGTTTCTAAATCTCTATTTTTTAAAGTCATGCTGTAAATTTTTTTACGGAGAGGAATTGGTTAGCCTCTTTAATTATTTTGTAGATTTTTAACATTTTTGCTAATATATTTGTTTTTTTTTCCACATGTTTTTTTTGCCTTGGTGGAAACAAAGCAGCTCCAGCGGGAAAACGTCTGCCCGCTAAAAACACTTTAAAGAAAAAAGAGAGAGAAACTGCTCTCCGAGGAGAAAGTTAGAGAAGAAAATTTACATTTGAGTTGCGTTCAGACGATTTGACATCAGATTTTTTGTTTTTTTTGATGATTTTGAATGTTTCTGATTGTGTTTGGGTTTCGATCAAAATGCTGTATATCTGTTCGAACATCTACCTCAGTGTCCGCTCATTTACAACAGAAGCTTTAACACCTGAACGGCGTCGGTGTCCCTCCGTTACTTTTAACGTTTCCATCAGACCTGGATCGAAAAGTCTCTAATTATCTGGTGCAATTTTAAGAAACCCAAACGCTCCATGAACTGCCATGAAACACAAAGAACAGACTGAAAAATGCTTAAAGCTATAGAAAACCATAAAATTATGAATATTTATGAAGCCTATATCGGCGTTTTAATGTAAAAATCATTCAGACTGATTACAGCAAATAGCTTTGAGCCTGACATGATTAATTTGCACATTTTAATAATTTATTTTCGATATTGTAAGAAAGTGATTGTGATTGAGTGACTGTTTTAAATATTTCTTTATTTAAGGGCAATAATGTGCTTCAGAGCTTTTCAACCAGTTAATACAAAGGAGTCTGTCGTCTATCTTAAAAACTCTCTGCTAAATCTAAAACTATTTTAGATTTTTACATTTTACATTTTACTGTCAGCTAGCGATCTAGGAAGTGTGTACAACCTGTCCTTGGGGAAAAGTTTAATTCCTGCAAATTTCAAACATTAGAATAATCCACATATTTTTAAAAATATGGATAATTATCTCTGTGTGAATGGTAAAAATGTTGGTCCAGGATGTTTTTAGCCTAGCGTAGCACAAAAGCTGGAAATAATAGGAAGCTGTCTGTTATTGAGAGTTACCTGGTGGTAATTTTGCAGTTCTTTTGGCAAGCAGCAACCTTCCTGATTTTAGCTCGGTCTCAATCACAGACTGTAGAAAACATAAATGTAGTCCCATTGACCCCGCCTATTTGTTTCTGGAGTTTGCAGTCGCCATTGGAATGTTGTCTCAACCAAACTTTCAGTTGACCAACCAGAGGCGTGGCTTTAGCCTCCTCACGAGTAGCTACACCTGTCCGCCTTTCAGTCAGTCGTGCCTCAGATTCTTCTATTCAGGCCAAAATTATGTTTTATACCAGGCTGTAAACATGTTTGTTTTTATTTATGTGGTTTCTGGTGCTTCAACAGCCAGCCTCAAGTGGACACTTGGGGAACTGCAGTTTTACACACTCTGGCATCGGCTTCTTTTCTCACTTCAACACTAACAGACTTAGCTCGAGGCTAAAAACATCTTGGACTGATCTTTGAGGGTCCATGTATTATCCGTCCATTCAGTAATTCCATTCAATCTAGATAACGAAAAACGAAAAAACGAGTCAATATTTTGTTTATTTGTTTTTCTGTAAAACCAAAAAATAAAAAATGTGTCTTTTTTCGTATTTTTTTGGTTACACAGAAAAAACAAATAAATAAAATATTGACTCTTTTCGTTTTTCGTTTACCAGATTGAATGGAATAATTGTATGGACGGATAATACACGGACTTTTGAGGTTGAAACTATCTGAAAATCTAAAATCTATGTCCTTGTCTGACTCTAAAGATGACAGTAAATATCTACCAAATGTTCCTAAAACGTATTATCCTCATCATCAGTAAACGTTGGTACTAGTCTGTGAAAGTCCCTCCTCACCAAACCTCTAACATCAGCTCTGCAGTCTGGCTTCGTTGTATTTCTGCTTCGCTTAGACATAAAAAAACAGCCGGGGGTGATTTCTGTCTGACAGAGTTACTGATGAGCTGTGACGAGGCATTAAGTTGTGATGATTAATGTATTCTGCAAACTGTGCAACAATAATAATACAGTGAATCCCCTGTGAGCGCAGCAATGTCGTATGACTCTGACTTCAGTCAGCCTGGTCAGGTTTCCACTCAGTTAACCATCACTTCAAACTCACCACACGTAACATCCATCGGAGGACATTTTCATGCTTCATTATCGACTGCAGAGTTCAGTTCAGGCTCGTCCCCTAATTCTCTCATTTCATGCACAAAGAAGTAAAAAGCAATAGTGTGAGTGATTTCTGTTCTCTGGGAACTTCAGTGTGGAAGCATTTCTGATTTCATTTTTTTTATTTCCAATTATTGTTGCCATGATTATTTTGACAATCTTCAATTGTGATCTATTTTTGATAAAATAAACCTTTGATTCTGATCAGTTTGAATCTTCATGTGTTTAATGATTGCACATGCAGATGTGTCATTTTCTGTTCTCTTGGTTTTTTGCTGTCCCATTTCAGCAGGATGGTGAGGCTGGGTTCGAACCGTGTGTGTGTGAGTCAGTGAGTGTTTGTGTGCTGTTAGGATGGACCACCATCACACTGTAAGTTCATTATTCACCTTTTGTCCTTCTCCGAACTCTCTTATTGGCTACAACACAAACTTTAGATCACCGTCTCTGGGTTGTCCTCTGAGAAAAATGACAAATGATTGCAGGATCAGCTAGGTTCTCCACTGAAAACGAAATTACATAAACTTTTAGGCTTTTCATTTTCTGAATTTTCTATATATCAAGTTATAATAATAATGATATTGGTTTTTTATTTATAGGCACCTTTTTAAAGCACTCAAGGTCGCCTTACAAGAGAAGGTTTTATCACCTCTTAATGATTGTTTTGGCTCATCTCAGTATATTTCAACTACTCTTTCAAGTAGTTTGAAAGAGTTAAATATTCTCTATGATGTAGACTTGTTTTATGGTGTAAGGAAGGCTGTGACAATATTGGATAAAAGATGAAAATAAACAAAACAGAAATCATCACCACATTTTTTAATGGTAAATATTGTCACCCTATTAAAATAATGGTCTTGGTTTTTTGACGAAAATTAGTTTTTGGCCTGAATCATCTCTTGATAATGCTGGCCATCTCTGGTAAAATCGCCTAAATCATTTCCATCAAAAAATGACTTAGGCCATTATTTTAATAGGATGACGATATAACAAAAACGCCAACAAAAAATGAAAAACAATGACTGTTTGTGGTGCTTTTATTCTGACATCTGTTACCATCTTGCATTAAAGTTTCTTTATTTTATAATTTGCATAAATCTGCTTTTATTTTGAAATGGCATGTATGCTCTTGCAGTACATGGGAAATGAAAGAAACCATTTGAAGGTATCAATTCAGTGCATTTAGCGTCCCCAAAGAGGCATATGTGGTTTTAGATTCACTTTAAATCTTTAAGCGTCATTTTTCATCTTTCAGAAGGCTGTCAGTCGTGCTGCTCAAGTTGCTAGTTGGACCATAAACAACAAAATAAAGTCATAAAGTTTGGCTGCGAAATCTTTATCCCCATTGGTTGGCTGAGTAACCCAAACAATCAACGACTGCAATGTCAGCACTGTAGAGATGGTCAGAACCCTGTCGATGTAGGTGTACAACCATCTAGTCAGGTCTATTGGCCAGACAAGCAACCAAATTGACCATTTTTTGAGTGGAGTTTGGTTTGGCCTTTTCAGATGCAACCTCAGGATGGCTAATTCCCACGTTATTTTTAGTCGAAACGTCCCTAAGAGTAAAAAAGAAAAGATGTACAGAGCTCCATTGTGGCGTCTACTTTCACAAAACAAACCCAAACAAACCCAAAGCCCTGTTTTCTTCTGTTAATCTAAAGTATTGTGTTGCACATATTTCGTCAACATCCAGTCGGAGTTGGAGGTTGAATGCCGAAAGTGGTGATGTGAAATTCTTAGTAGGTTAAGCCGTGTCTGAACTGTAGATAGAAAACCAGCAGAGTCACTTTGAAACATCCTGTCGCCACAGTTAATCGCCAATAAGCAATAATGCATGAATAGTAGAGTATCATCAGCGAAGGTGAGTTGTCAGGTTGTTCATATCTGTGCATAAGAAGTTAATAGTGCCTTAATCATAACCTCATTCTGTTAATACTCTGTCAAATGCATCTGAAGTACAATAGAAGAAGAAGAAAATGTGTGTTTATACTAGCTCTGTAGGATTGCACTTGACTGGTTGCACGTAGAGATGTAATGTAAAAAAAATGTATTGAATGTACAGTAAGTACTCTTCCCGGTTGGTGTTTTGAGAGGAAACTAAAATATGAAAAGAATCTATATTTTCTTTTAGACTTTTATTTTTCATGTTAAAGTAGTTTTCTCCCCTTTTCTTTAGCAGCTCAGGAGGAAAAACAAAGACTGTGATTCTCGACTTCTTATTATCAATTTTACATTTTTGGCTTTCTATTTAGAGCTCCTCTGTGGAACTTGTGTTGATTTTGGCACCCCCTGTGGACAAAGTGATACCTCTTATTACTATGATTTTTTTTTATTTTTGCCTTTGCCGGTCACAAAAACTTTATGTTTGATTTCAGTCTGTTTCATAACCCATAAAAAATCCTCACAGGAGCTTTAAGTTTAGATACGATAAAAAAACTAGTAATATTGTTGGCAATACACAAAACTAAGCAAGTTACAGCTCCTGTGAGGAGTTTTTAAGGGTTATAAAAGGGACTTTAATGAACAGTGATACATCTGTGTAATTTATTAAGGCAGATAAAACCATTGACAGCAATACTGACAGTTTCTATATCGTAATTTTAAAACCTGTAACTGCTGTAAGAGGGTAGGTATGATGTAGTAACAGTAACTTTTATAACAGCAAATATTCACTGAGTGATAAATTATGCTGTAAAGAAACAACAGGAGTTTTTTTGTAAATCAACTCAAAATTCAAAAGAATAAGACAAATTCAACAATGTAAAGATTATAACTTTGTCCACAGGGGGCGCCAAAGTCAACACAGACAGAGTTCCTCACGAGCTTTATATAATAGTTGCAAAAGATTTTATTTTAGGTCAAGATAAACTGAAATTAGATGATATGAACCAATTTAAACATATATGATAATCTAAACAGAGTGATTCATGTACAGTAATTGATAAAAAAAACATTTCACATTTTCTTTTTGGGACAAAATGTAAGTGGGAAAGTTGAAAAACTGTGCTCAACATAAAACTAATTATTGAAAAATAATCCGAACAGCCTAAAAAACAGGTCCCAAGAAGAACATAAATTTCTGAAATTCTTTAAAATATATCAATTTTAAAACTGTATATCAACAAACTTTGACAATGACATTTAATGTTATTTTTTGGAAAACTAGCACAAACACATTATCATTTTTAACTGGTGTGAAAGGCTGTGATTGGTCAATAAAAGAAGTCTGAAATGATATTTAGGTTGATTTTTTTTCATCCTCACTTGGAGCGACATAGTAAACATTTATAAAAACAGAGTCATCATCTCTTTCCTTTTTAGAGTGCTGTTCAAATTCAAAGGAGAGGAAGAAGACTGAGATAAAAATAGCAGAAAAAATAACCATCTTAGACTCTTACCGGCATGGGTGTATTAATGCAATCTGTCTCCATGTATTTGAGGTCAGTGGTGTTTCCATTCACTGGACTGTGTGTTTGTCTCACTGTGATTTCCCGCTTCTGCACTGAGTCCTGCAAACAGCCGAAACAAAAGAGGCTTCTCTGCAAACCTCAGCCTGTGTCCTCAGTGTTAAAAAGCTCAAATAATACTTTATTTTTCTTAACTTGAGTGTCTGTGTGTTTCTCTGTCTGACAGGTATAAAGTTAAACAACAGAAAAAAAAAGAGAACAAGTCCTTCATAATGTAATATATGTATGGCTTGGGATCGTACACACTGTATATGCACAACAGAGTCATTCTGATAGTTGTGACTGAGTTAAATGTGGCCTTTAATTTCTCTTTAATGTACTGCAATGTTGTAAATTATTTGTATAATATTACACAATGTATATCAAAGTTGACAAGGCTTTATGTTTCTACAACTTATGTTTAATAAATAAATGAACTGTGCTCAACTGTGTAACATGTCTCACTTATTAGACGGTTCTTACACATGTCTGTTTTTATGGGGTTTGAAAGACCAACACATCTTCAAAAAATGGAATTACATATCTGCAGAGTATCTTGAATGTTATCTCTCACGATAAGTACGGAGCATTTTTGAGACCAAAAACAAAACCTCCACCGACCTCCGGTTGACATATGTCGCTGTTTGACTATCGCTTGAGGTCAGATTTTTACAACTAATCAGGGGATCCCAGTAGATCCACTCTGCCCCGGACTGGCAGACGGATCAGATACGCAAGCTTACAGTGCCCACTGGATCTGATCCGCCACCACCATCGACGGAGAAGCACTCGCGAGATTACCGATATGTCCTGCGAGACTGGACGAGATCTTGCGTCTTTCCCCAGGAGTCATAGAATGAGATCGGCGATCGGTGTAAATCATGAGTGGATCCACAGCGGAGCCGGACGGCAGACGGATTCTGTGGAATCACACACATCGGTTATAATGCTTGCGTGTTTGAGCCGCCTGCCAAGCCGGTGTGGAGCAGAGCCGCTCTGGATCCTGTTGGTTTTAGCCATCATGCAAACAAAGTCTTTTTTTACTTACTTATACATTGTCATCATATCAAGATTTATGGATAATTAGGAAAAAAAGATTGCTTCTGATTGGGCAGACAGATAGCCACATTGTAGTTGTTTTTAAGGTGGCTAGGCTATGGCTACAGTTTAAGGCCCTGTCCACACAGAAACTTTTTAATTCAGGAGTAAATGCCAAAGTTTTTGTCGTATCATCCATGACTACCCGCTACTTTCTTGAAATGCAGCGTAACTCTACTAGCGCCCCTGCGCTAGTCCAGCCAAAACATGCTTATACGCATGCTCTGTACTCTTCTTCTGTCTTTTGGTGCATTTCTGGAGCAGCGTTACTGCACCACTTACTCACTTGACATATGCACTACATCATTTCCAGTCGTTTTCAGTGGTTTTGTTTTTACGCAGATATTTCCTGCAAAAATTCCATCTTTTATTGAAAACTTTTCACAACAAAACAGCAATATGTTGTTTTCATGTCCATGTGGACAAGGCCTAAGTCAGCATCTCTAATCTGGTGATTGCCATCTTTGGCCTTTACAGCCTATTTCATGGCTGCAGCTCAAGGAAACAACTGGATCTTTTCCAAACTTTCTTTCTTTTGAAGTGTGAGCTTCAAGGACCCCTAAATCATGAAGAAAATAGGGAAGTTTACAGGTCAAGGTTTTCCTTTTTAAAGGTACCTGAAAGCCTTTTGTTCCGGGTGTTTTGGTTGTGTTGTTTTGGTGGATTGGAGTCCAAGTCAAGTTTCCTCACAGGAACAAAGAGGAGGTATCATATTCTGACTTTTTGACTCCTGTTTGCAGAGTCATGTAGATCAGACGATAAGCCTGCTTTGCTGCCACTCCAGCCGTCCCAGACCTCATTCAAAAGTAATGACTCTGAGCTGCAGGGAAACAGATCCATTACATAAGAAAGCTGCTCCCCGGGACTGAGCGGAGGCAGCAAATGGAAAAACCACAACAGACGAGCCGAGACTGCTGAATCAGCAGACATAATGTTCCCTCCTGTCAGACAGTCTTTCATTCATGCGCAGCTGCTTGAGAACTGCAGGTAACTTAGCCGGATAGCTTAGTCATCCTTCTCTGGGACTATCTATGGCGAGATACAACCTCTTCAACATATGTAGAAATATCCCACTATCTATAACCTTGAAATGCTTTTCCAAGTCAAAACAACTGACTGAAACTGAAACAGTTCAGCAGGACTTTTACTTTAAGTCTTCTTTTGAGTCTACGAAGAGGCTCCGACAGCAACATCAACAGAACTTGTTGCTTCAGGTCAGAATTGGAAAGTAAAGTAGGGTGACCACGCGTCCTCTTTTACCCGGACATGTCCTCTTGTTTGGGGGCTGTCTAGGTTTGTCCAGCTTTGTCCTTTGAAGTTTATAAAATCCTTGTTTTGAGTTTGTGTCAATTGGACTTACTGAATTAGAAGCGTGTAAAAGACAATCAATCCGACTCGAAAAACTCTCAAAATTAACTTCATCTGACTCCGTGACTCCAACCCTGCGTAGTCGGGTCCTCTTTTTGGGAAGTCAGAATATGGTCACCCTAAAGTAAAGACATTGGCAAACGAAGGCCTTGTATGTCTGTAATTTCTAATATTGGATGAAACACACAGCCAAGACCCACAAAACCAAACGTCCATGTAGATATCGTATCATATTAACAGCAGCTAATACAGCAGGAGGCTGAAGAGATCTAGATAGCTCAGTGAAAGTAGCCACACAGAAAATTAAGCAAAGCAACAACCCAAAAACTTTGAATTGAATCAGGCTTATGTGATCAGTTTATTTGGACATTTTGGAAGCCAAACTCAGGCAGTTAGATATCACTATCGTACTGTAGCTTAACTACAACATATTGCTAGCTTAACTTGGCGCAAAGATGTTGAAATACGGCAAACAAATGTAGCGCTGAAGACCTTTGACCAAAAAATGATCTTTGACTCTGTAGGGCGCTAACATCCAGCATTTATACTTTCCCGCCATTCCTTTAGCTTTTTTCCACTCAGTCCAAGAACTCAAGCTCTGCCATAAGAAGCTTTTATATTATTTCACAATAAAATAAAAGCATGCATGGGATTCGAATCAGGATTCGTCGAACCCCCTCTTCTCAGCTGTGCAGCCCTGATTTTCATAATAAACGTGAGTTTTTTTATATAAGGTGTTTACCAGCAGACCTCAAAAGTGCTGTTTCGTAGACTTTTTCCTCTCCGGATAGAGTGAAGCTAATGGTTTCCTCTTTTAACAGTCTTTATGCTAAGCTAAGCAAATGGCTGTAGTCTTATATTTAATGTATGAAGTGTGTGAGAGGTATTGATCTCCTACAGCTCGTCAGTAGAGAACAGTGAGTTCATTCCCCAATATGCAAACAAACCATTATTCTAAGATGTGCTGTTCCAGGTTCGTTCTCTCTCCCTGGTGAAACACTGTTTGTGTTTACCTCATTAGCATAACTTTTTGACTGCTGCAACATTCGATCAGCGTCCGTCTGACGGACTGAACCCTCGGCTGAGAGAGGAGATCACTTCGCCTTTGTGCGCCTGAAACACGGCTCCGCTCATCATGAATTATTGATCGGTCCGAGGTGGTTTCACTTCTCCCGTCCCGTGAGGCGAGCCGTAACAGGAAGCAGGAGCTCAGAGGGTCTGAGTGGAGCAATCTGTGTGTTTATGAGTTCTGGATGTGACTGTCCTCTTCATGACCCGCATGAATCAGAGCTAGGGGCAGCCCAGTGAACCGTGCTCTGTGGAGGAGCCCCGAGCCTTGTTTGTTAAGGTAGAAGTGGTGGTGCTGTCCCTTAAGGTGGATGTGATGCTGTTAGTTCAAAAAAGGTTGGCTAATACTGGCTTCTGTTTGTTTTGTTTCATTTTTGTTTGACGCAGAGGCTCATATTCACAGGATCATGACTTTGCACCAAATGGTGAAGGACGTTTACATTGTACACGGAGCCTTTGCATAGATAGATAGATAGATAGATAGATAGATAGATAGATAGATTTTGGCCATTTTAGAGTACCAATTAAGCAGAAGGACGCTTCAAAGTTGGTATGAAAAACATTATAGCCTTACCCCCAATTTTGGTGAGGCGAATGTCCTCATTCATGGTGTCAAAGGGGTGGCTGTCTGTAAACCTTTCACCTGTTCGTCTCTGCCTGTTTGCATGGTGTGAAATACACAGTTTTTTATTTTGAGAAGAAGCTGGATGTTTTATTTTGTGTCTGTGCCTGACTTCCTTTCCAGCACGGGTTAATGTGTGCTGAATTTATCTTGCAAGCTCCGGCGTCCGAAAAAATAGATATCTTGTGATAAGCTGCGGAGTCCGGCAATCCGCAGCGGAACGGAAAGAAGCCGGTGGAAATTGACACATTAACTTGAACGATTATGATCAGCTATGATCTGCGGATACGGCCTTTTCTGGATGCGGTGGAAATTGGGGGTTAAGGTTCAACAAGTCAAGCAAGTGTAGAACTGCCAAAACCTGCATTCTTCTCAATGTCCAGCAGGGGGGCGACTCCACTGGTTTCAGAAACAGTGGCATCAAAGTCGATGAGAAAACAGTCCTGCTTCTTATCAGCTGATTTTATTCCTCATGACTTTGTGTTCTTAATTTCTAGTTGACAGTCTTCTTCAATACAATATAACGAGCATTAAGCAAATTATGGTCTCATTCAGGACCACACAGACCAGAAAGCAGAAGATTTGGAGTGGTGCACCTGGGATTTACAGGTTAACAACAAAGGCTTAGAAATAGTTTTAAAGACTTTCTGAAAAGTTTAGTGTTTGTTACTTAAAGGCTTTTTTTTGACTGTCATAATAAGAATCCCTTTTATTATTATTACACTTATCCTGACAGTAGAAGCAACCCGCCAATGCAGTTTGCTAGCCGACCCACCCTTTTAAGATCCATGGAAGAAGATGGCGATGGCCAAAATGCCAAACTTGTACCTTTGACGTTAAAGACATTAAAGGGCTTCCAAACCTTTAACACACAATCAAATATTTCCAATGTAATTTCAGAACAGCAGTGTGCTGTGCAAATAAGTAACCCATCAGATAGTTGTGAAAATTCACAAAGCAACATTAAAAGACCCGTCTTAACTCGAACAACATCTGTGTTTTAATGCTGGTTTTCATTTGCAAGCGCTTTACTGACCTGCAGCAAAAAAGCCCAAACTTTCAAAGTCAGGGCCTCTAAGGATCCTGAAGAGACCACCCTCTGATTTCTAAGACCTTAGGGCAACCGTTTTAAATTCACTTTGAATCGTGTCCATTTCACAATCTGGACAATTGTTTTGGAGTCATATGTGAGGTCAAAGGTCAAAAAGATATTGGGTTTTGCCTCTGTAAGCTTAGACTTTCCATAATTGACCCGGGCTAAATCAGCTAATTTAGATACCGTTCATTTTAAAGATGAGTCGATGGCGTGTCGAGTCTTAATGTCCAGGCTCTTTATGTTCGGGCTCTTTTGGTTAATGAACGGCTTATTTCACTTCAACAATTAGTTTAATCAGGATCAGCCGAGGGGCCAACCACAGAGAGAAGTTACAGACTCTGGGCGATACGTCCGTGAACGTTGTTAGACGACTAATCTTGGCCTCACACACAGCCATTACTGAGCTTTATCACAAAGTTCTCTCAGCTCTCAAATCTCAGCCGGGATTAGCCAGTAATCCAAGGACATTCCCGTCCATTTGAAGATGGCTTGTGGCCACGGGTCATTAATCTGAGCCTCGGCTGGAGTCATCAGTCACATCAGTCACATTACCCTGTGATCACCCTGTTTGTTTGCTCTCTTTTTCCCCCACAGGAAGCATTTTGTTAGCTGACTTGGGATGCAGTAAATCCTGGCAGTGACCGTGCGCAGCCATCCATGATTGAGGAGCAAAGACCAAATCTGAAGCTTTAATTTTGTAAATTTCTGCTCATTTACTCACAAAGTACACAGATTATTTGACGGCAGATCAACAGATTAACAAGATTTCAATGAAAAAATGAAAAATATGCGTTAAAACCAGCTTCGGCTGCAAATGGACTCTTATTGGAACAGTTTGCAACACCCCAGAAATTGCACAGGATTAGTATTACCTGGGGATCTCTGATAATTTATAATGACTATGGATGATATCTGTGTTTTTAATCCTGAGTTAAACCCTGTCTGTAATTTGCAAATTAGAGCAAATCACCTTCAGGTCACAAAGAAGTCCTCTGATATCATTCCGGTCTTGATTTGCATTGCAGTATTGAGGTGGTTTAGAGTTTTCCTGCCCTTTTCTGGTCTTTTTTAAAACTTATTTATTAAAAAATAATAATTTCCTTTGATAGCAGTTAAGAATTTCTTCCAAAATTTTCTTGGAAATTTGTTGTTTGAGCCTCGCTACAAACATAATTTTTTTAGATCTGAAATAACTTTTCATTTATGACATTTAAATTTGATATTTTATGACTATAAGAGATCCAACCACTTACATTCCAGCAGGTAATCTGATTTATCTCTTTCAACAATTTTCATTTAACTGAGGAGGATATTATCTGCTGTAAAAGATAGCTGAAGCATGAAAGCAGATCATTTTTTTTCCTGCAGGCTGAGGGGCAAAGCAAGGTCGCCTCCTCTCTTTACAGGAAGTGTGCAGGATTTCTTTATTTTTATAATTTTTATGGGTCATACCATCGCTGAAAAGAGCCAGAGGGGAGGCAGGAAAACAAAACAAATTGCATGTCAGCCCAGTGAGCGTGCGTGCGCACGTACACAGACTGCATTATTAGCTAATATTCAGCGCTGGTGTAATTGTATAAGCTGTCACGCGCTGATGGCTGAGCTGCTGCATTTTCTCATTTAGCGTGCATCACCAACCCCCCCTGCACCCCCCCCCCCGGGATGTTAAATGGTGCAGACGAGCAGGACCCTCGGCAAAAATAGACTCCAGAATCCCCTCAAAGAAAGAGAGCTGCTAAAAATAGCTCACACACACACTAACACACACATACACACACACTCACACACACAGTCGGGAGCCATGTTCATGGCATGCTGGAAGCAGGGATTCCCTGAAGGTTGCTGTTGGCTTCAGCGTTTACGTCTTCATGCTCTGAAGGCAGGACTGAAGAACCAAAACCTGCTGATTATGGCATCATCTGTTTCAATATTATCACAATACAGATCAGATCAAATCAAATTGATAATGCTTGTTGTAGAAATATCTCAGTTTCATGTAGAAATAGAGCCCGGAGCAAACATGGTTGGATCTGATTAACACCCAGAAAAAAAAACAGAGAATATTTAGTCGTGTGGATTTTATGTTCAACTCCTGTTTCCCAAGAGTCGAAACGTTGCATGAACTAATACTAATTTTCATATTTAAACCCTGTATTAAACTAAAAATACTGCAAAGACTAATGTGAAAATAAGGTAGAACAGAACAGAGGATGTGGCGTCCATGATGTCCAAAAAAGATCTTAAAGGCATGGTTGACGATCTGAGAAGCGGTTCAGAGGCAGATTTAAAAAAGCGTCCCACCCCCCACACACAAACCTCTCCTTTTTGTGCTCCACGATAACTCCCCTCCCCAAACCTGTATCACCCTCTCCACGACACACCCCCTCTGGCAGAGCAAGAAGCCGGCCAGCAGAAGATCCTACGCTAGCTTCAAATAGGATTCACCATGTCGGATTACTAGTGACTAGCGGCAGTAAACGCCTCCTCTGCTAGCGAGCAGCGTCTGCAGCTGCCTGGACAGCTACCGTGTTGACATTGCAGAGACTAATAAGAGTTATTTATGTAACATGTGCCACGATAAAAGGCGATAAAAATGACCTGTTCAACAAAAACTCTGCTGTCTCTGCGTCTGTTTTCAGGCCTAAATCCTGGCGGAGTTTTCTCCACCGCCCAAAGGATGACCCAATGATTCTTCGAGTTAGATTCCTCGCTTGGTCACATTTCCTCTTCGTCCATGCCCTTCCTTCTGTTGGCTTGCATTCTCGTAGCACTTTTGGCGTTGGGGCGAGCAGAAGTGCTTTTTATTTTTTTTTTGCGTCCTTCTCCATCACGGCTCCTGTCACTAAGCTGCTACGCTACTTTCAGCCGGGAGAGTGGGAGGGGACGAGTCGGAACTACGGAAGAGGGGTGTGTCAAATACAGCAAGGTGATTGGATGGAGAGGCAGAGCAGGAGATTGACCAATAGGAGCTGTTTGGGACAGATGGCTCCCATTGGTCAATGTTTTTGCATCCCCGCACCCGCTAGAGTGAACAGATCTTCTCCATTCTTTTTTTTCTTCACTCTGTGGAGATTGCACTATAGGACCATGATCGCCATAGAAACGAGGTTCATAATAATTACCAATCTCTCCAATCGTCAACCATGCCTTTAAATTTTGATTTATTAGACCACTTGACAGTTTTAAGTTTGCGCCAAAAAACTGTCTTAACAGAAATTCCAGACTCCAGATCATGATTCATTAATATTTTTTGGGCTGGTCACTGTCACAAGTTGAGTCATAGATTCGTGCTGTGACTCAGCTCGGAGACATGACAGCCTTCTAGTTGGAGCTCGACCAATCCCTGCTCGCCGTTCTTCCTGACTTCTTTGAAGTACAGAGGTGAGCCGAAAGTGTCAGGGGTGATTAAACTGATCCACCTGCAGGAAACATCCTCGTAGTTTCTCTTTTTTTTTTTGCTTTTCTAAGAGTCGACGTCACATCATGAGTCACCGTCAAGAACGTAGAAGTTGTAAAACTCTGTAAAGGTGCAGAAATATCTTCACCTCCACCCTCCTGTGGCATTGATCAAGAATCTTTAAACGTCGAAACTAAAATATTAAGTTTATGTTAACGTGTAAAGCAAATGTAGATGTGTGAATAATGCATCGTGTTGCCATGGTAATTTTCCTGATCAAACCTCAGAGGGGGTTCTTTGCATATCTGCTTCATGTCCCTCTGTTTAAATTATTTCTACTCTCTCTTACACACCAGCAAACAAACGTCTCAGACTGTTTTCCTCACGCTGTTCCTTCCTGCAGCATCAGAGCTGAACGTTATCCTCCATGTTCAGCAGGAAAGAGCCTCTCTGTGTCGAACTGTCCATCCTCCCGCTGTACAGCTCCACTTCATGTACCAAACACATGATTTATTCATGCAGCAGCAGAGCTTTTTACTCGCTCTGGATCTGCTCTCACTCTGTTCGCTGTCGGCTTCCTGCAGCGTCTCAGCCTGCTGAACATGGTCCTGCTCACATGTGGATCACCATGAGTCCAGTCCCTGCACCAACAGGGCTGATGGGAGTGTTTGAGTCTGTAAACCTGCAGTGAAGAGTTTCATTGACTCTTTATAAAATATTGTGGTTAGTAATTGCTCTTTACTTTCATTCTGTACCACCACGACGATTTGCATCTAAAGGACTTGTCAGCAATTGCCATGTTGACATGTGCAAAATTTCTTGATCCGATTAAAAATTTGAGGGATCGGAAAATCTGAATCCACTGTTTATGGTCGCAAGATCATATAATACAGATATTATACAGATTAGAAGCATTTGGAGTTGCGCACAGTTGTCTGATTTTGCTAAAACAACCGCAGAAGAAGAAAAGCTGTTTTTACGCCTGTGCTGTTGACAAACCAACAAATGTGGTAGTGGCTCACTTCATTCAATTCAGGATTTTCTCCCTGTTAAATATTGTCACTAGATGGCGCCCTTGCTAACTTATTTTACTGTTCTGGCAAAGGATAAGCTGTGCGTGGAGATGCTACATCATTACGCCTTATGTACGCCTTGTTATGTTATCGGAGGAGCAGACACGGCACCTGTGGTTGAGTTTTATGCCAGAGTGTTGATAATGAGACCTCCTGTTCTGATCTCAATAAATAAACCAAAGGCTAAAGAGTGAAGATCGAGTCAGGTTAAAGAGTCATGACCGGAATAAGTGTTTACATGGACATGTTTGAAAATAACGATCGGCATAAACCACCTCTCTTGATCGGAGTACAATTTCTTTCCAATTAATCCAAACTGGTTCAGGATCCTCCGATATGCATGTTTACATGACGCTATTTTATTCAGATCAGGCTTTTATTCCGCAAGAGATGGGTCCAACATTTAGGTCCAGTGCAACTCGTCAGATTTCAATTTTTTAAGTTCAACTTGGCTCAGCCAAACTTTGTTAAACCATTGGATCATCTTGTCTACTGCAGAGCTGAGGTATTTATTTCCTGGTGCACCTTTCCCCTCCCGTCATCCCCTGAGCATTTTCACTCATCTGAAGATGGTGATCAGCCGTCACAGCTGCCATCACTCCACTCCTTCATCCGCTCGCCAGCATCAATCTGTCACTCTGCTCCCAGACTCACTGCCAGCTCAAGTGTTCGTATTGATCGTCTCATTGACGAGGTGTCTCATTCAGGTCTGTGTTATGGTGATAAAACTGCTGTTTGGACATTGATGTGGTCCTCTGATGTTTCTTTATTTACACTGACGATGAACGCCGACAGATGATAAATTATCTCTCAGCAGGACAACTAAACATTTCAGCGCTCCCTCAGGTCAGGAGATTTACACCTAGAACCTGAGTCAGAGTTGACATATAGGATAATAAACTGATTATATTTAAAAATCTGTTATACAGGATATGATTGTTGTCCACAAACAGCAGAGTCTACATCGTCTTTTTTTGCTGAACCAACAGGATAAATTGAACCTCCTGAACCGCCCACCTTTTACTTCACATTCCCTCCATCATCTGCAGCCCCGCTCTCTCTCCCCTCCCCCATCTGTCACTTTGCCTCCCTCACTCCTTGCTGGCTCTCCCATGACGTGACTCTAATAATAGCTCCCTGAAGTCGGGGCCCGGCAGTACCCAAGGGCCATGTGTTGGTCTTGAAGGGCACGGCATGAATTGGCCACGCTCTTTCCCCTGCATGCTACTGGGCTTATAAATAGCTGTGGAGAAAGAGGGGGATCTGCACAGGCATTATATAAGCATCTCGTGTGTTTATGAATGGCAGTGGGGGTGGGGGGGATGGGGTGGTACATTCATAAGTCTTTGCTGCTGCAGCTGCCGCTGTAAACACCCTCCTACCACTGCTAAGTCAGCCATGTGTGAACAAACTGAAAATTTAAGAACCAAGAGATTTGCAAACATCCCCCTAATTTGATCATTTCTGCCCTACGTCTCAAGAAATCCTCATAAATGTGAAGGATTGTTCAGTATCTGACACCCTGAGTCGTAGACAGGCAAATAAAACCATTTTTAAACACAGTAAAGGTCAGAGTGGATCTGTCTGAAACAAGCTGTTGGTATTTGAATGAGTGAACATGTTGGTCATGGACAGAAGGTTCAATCAGAGACAATTTAAAGTGAGCAGGCTGTTTTGCCAAATGGATCGCAGACCAAAGTCAGATAAAACCAACCCCTTTCTGTGCATTGATTGGTGCTACATCCCTATTAACAGCCATCTCCATAGCAACAGTCTGCTATCAAGAAATAACAGACTGCCGCTATTAAATGTTGCAACACAATGACCGATCAGAATTAAGTCGTGAACACAGCTGTTTAATGAACACTGATAAAAATGCCAGATGTCGCTCTTGAGCTTTCTAAAGTGACCTAATCATGCTAATCCGCTAACATAACGTGGAGGTTAGCCTGATGCTATCTGTCTTCATGTTGTCACACAAACATTTAAAACCATAAAAAGCTGCAGCTTAACACATTTAGGCTTTAATGCCATTTAATACGATGCATGAATCTGATGTTGACCACAATGATGTGCTAATGCAACTAAACAGTTCATTCACATCCTACTGGAAGGCTAGCTAATAAGTTTGTATGTTAACTTGTCATGTCTTGAACTTCTTTTAAGGGTCTGGGTGTCATTGAGGTGTACATCACGGAGGTATCCATGGAGATTTGAAGATTTATGATCATTTCTTTATCATTTACTTGAAGTCATAATCACCATATTAATCATTTTGCACTGCAGACGCTGTAGTTCTTCTGCCTTAGCGTCTCGGTCTGATTGCATTTCCATGAGAAAATGGTCATAAATGTTCTTCCTTGAGCTGCGTCACCCCGCTGCAGTCAATGGACTCGCCCGGAGGTCTCCGTACAAACAAGTGGCTGCTGGAGGAGAGTGGGTAAGTTGTGTTTAGTCTTTTTCCTAAAAAAATTAGTCAAAATTAAAAAGATGTTTGATGGCTAGTACTATGGCTAGGACTCTATATGTCCTGTTGATGAAGTTAGGTGCTGTTCTGAGCATTATTTGTGGTTATAGAGTGGTGTTTAGGTTGAGGTTTGTTTATGGCTCCTCAGACCGCTGTGTATTGCTATCGTGTGGTCATTACTAAAGTTGGTAGAGAAGCAAGCAGTTGGCAACATTCATCTCTCATATAAAATTCAAAAGAAGTGTACAATGGTATTGTTTCAGAGTTTCCACCACCTTCACCTTCTTTGAGGTTTTTTTTTTATGCTAAGGGAGCAGGGAGTAATGAAATGAGCAGGGAGGTACGGTGAGTACTATGAGATGATGCCAGTGTAGAAAGTAGAGGAGGGGGGGAGGAGGGAGTGATGAAGAGCCCCGTGGAAAAGAAGAGCAAGGCTTAATGAGTGTGTTGCCCCTGATTCGGGCACAAGCACGAGGCAGGAGATGACAGGACTGTGTGTTGCCATGGGGGATGCAGCGTTGGCCTGCATGAAGCAGAGGCATCCCTCCTCCTCCTCCTCCTCCTTACTCTCTTCCTCCTCTTCCTCCCCTCTGATGCTCATGGCATAAAGAACAGAGTACAGAGCAGAGCCACGTACACCCAGCACTGCAGCAGAGCTTTGGCCGTAAGAGCTTCACAGATCTGAACATTGGTGCCCATAGCAAACACAAAACAAAAAAAGGTCCCGACTTCTGTAAAAACTCTGATCAGTGTAATCTTGCAAGAAAATTACTTGGAAAAGTTTGTAAATTAAAAAAAAAAGTATTTTTCTTTTACGTGGTCGCAGTATTCAGTCTGACAGAGATGGATGATTTAAATGACCAGCTGATGGCCCAGCTGATTTCCTCCTATCTCCTATTGGTCCTTTGCCTTTAGAGCGCCCTTTTTAAAAGTGCCCTAACCCAGCCTCTTCCTCTGCTTCGACAGCCGACCAGCAACCCACCTCCACCCCAGCTCCACTACCCTTGAAGCGCTCTGGTCATCACTGCTCTACGCCGCGTTGTTTCTGCCTTCTTGATACCTTGTGAAGGTGCTCTTCCTGGCTTTTCACGCATGCTTGCGTGGAGAATCAGGGGCACCAAACAGAACCTTTAGTGCGCTCCCTGCTATTGCCTTTTCATGATGGCTCGTGGAGGGCAGGAAGGGCTTCTTCCTGCCTCTGGCTTCCACACAAGTGCGTGGAAGGGCAGGGACCCAGAACAGAACTATACTGCCAAATTTAACTTTGCACTATAAAGCTGAATTTTGGCAAAGTGATCCTGTCTAAACTTATATCTATGAAGTCTATTAGAAAGAGACAATGCAAAGAGTACATCTTGAAAAATGTGGGAGTGTCTTATTTTCAGGGTTTAATACTTGACCCTCTTAAATTGATGCTGCCAACTTAGAGACCGACTTAAAAATCCACTCGCTTCGTGAGACCGGCAGCTCTGAGTATTTCTGCAACATCCAGGGACTTTTCTATCCCACAGAGAAGACCAGTGTATTTTCAGAGACTGTTACGATCTAATCCCTTGAAAATGAAGGTAATCTGTGAAAAATTATGTGTTAATTTTCATGATATCTCTGTTGTCAGGTAGTTATTCTCAATGAAGGATTTTGTTGTTGATGCAGCTCCATAGAGAAACAATGTTAAGGTCTTTTCTTGAGAATTAGTCTTGAAAAAGAGAGGTGGTCTTATAATCAGGGTGGTCATATATGGTACTGTAATGATCGGAGCTTTTATTGTGTGGTTATTGAAGCCGGAAACAAAGCTAAACCCTCCTGTGTGGGTGAAACGGCTGTTTGTCGTGGCTGAAGGTCAAAGTCAAGGCTAAGCTAATTCCCAAACACGACTTCAGACTGCAGAGGGATTAATGCAGCTGGACGACACATGCTCACACTCCCTGTGACGAAAACCTGACAAAGACAGGAAGGAGAAGGACTGAAAAAGGCTGAACACACGTTCACACGCAGATGCTCATCTGATGACTTCATGCTTTTGGCGTTCTGTGAAACGCAGCGCCGTGTTTTATCTCCTGTTAGATGATACTTGCAGGCACAAAGGGGAGGCTGCTGCGTCTATAACTGGTCCCGTGTTGGATTACAGCTGCTTCACCGGTGCTGAAACTGAAGATGGAAGACAGAACAGCGCCTAAAATCCCTTCTCAAAGCAAGTGGAAAGTTTAATGTGCACTTGAACTCTTCCCCCTCTCCTCCATCTGCTGCTCAGCCAATCAGCAGCTGACGTTGGCAGTCGCTAAGCCCCTGTAGGCCCTGGTTTCCTCGACTGGGAGGCAGTGATTGGTACGGATTAGTTTCTTAATTCACACTCCTAACACCAGAGTATTATTTTGAAGAGCAACCTTGTTATGAAGCCACTGACAGAGCAGTAACCTCAGGACTGTTGCTTCCTCTGAGGGCTGATTATTCTGTGTTTATAAGGATGCTTATTAAAGGCGGGGGAGGCAGGATCTGAGGAAGTGCCAGTTTTTAGGAGAAATCTTGAATGTAAACTCTACCCCTCTCAACCAGTTTTCCCCTCAGCTCCTCCTCTCCCCTCCTGCTCTGCTCCAGCAAGCCCCGCCCACAAACAGACGCTCCTGCTCGCTCGTATCGTTCCAATTAAATTCAGATATAATGCAGATAAATACTTCAGATAATTACAAATGGAGCCCAGTCAAGGTGAAAGTAAAAAGCATTGGTGAGACTGTAGATTCCAGCAAACACAATGTTTGCAGGACTTCTACAACAAGGATAAAGTGACATAGTCCAGGACCCGAGGTCAACAGTTTAGCGGCGCTACAGCAGGTCCTGTTTGACAAGAAACACTTCTGTTACACTTAGCTTACTTTGTTAAAGTGGTTTACCTGTCCAGCAGAAAGGTTACGCGGTCCGTAAGATCCCGAAGTGTCCCCCATTGTTTATGCTGATGTTGACCCGTTTTTTTTAGCTCTTGTCTGGTCTACCTCCATTTCAGCGCCCGTTGTTTTGCAAGAGTCTCCGGTATTTACTTTGTTTTCTTGCTTGTGTTGGCAGTCATGGCTAAAGGAGGATTCCGACAATTTTCCGTACTTTCTAGTTGGTTTCTACCATCCAATATTGTAGCACGCTAACATTGGGCTCATGTACGTTATTGGAGGATGTGAAGCATGCCTCACAACACTAGGGAGCAGTGCATGCTTCACAACCAATCGGGTTGGGGGAGGTGGAGAAATCAGAGCGGCGTCAGGAGAAATAACCAATTTCTGCAAAATAACCTCTCTTAGCATGTGGGTTAATGTTAGTTCTGTTAGCAAACAAACCAGAGGAAGCTGTTTTGTCCGTCTTTGAATGACTGCAATTGTGACCAAACACAAATATTTAACAACTAATCTCATATGATAGCCTAATGATATAAAACGGTGTAGTAATATGTGGCAAATTTGAGACAACATACAAAATCTAAAACAAATGCAATCACAGAGAAAAAAAAAATGTTTTACCTAGCGCCCCCCTCAGGCCTGGAGTACTCATGTCAGGTTTTTCCTGCATGATTTTGCATTTGCAGCGTATCATTACTAATTTGGGACTTTAGTAGGTTTTTATAATTTGATCATTCGAACATTTGCAGGACATTCCTCCCGATGTAGATCTTCAGACACTCAGCAAACATTTTCCAAGTAAGTTTGTGGTTTTAATCTGTCGTCTAAAGTCTTCTTTAACACAGCATGATGTCCATTTGGTAAATTATGGTCTCATTTAGATTCATATCGACCATGCGACTGAGGAAGATTTCCTGTAACTGTGAATCAGAGAAGTAGTTGTTCAGCATCTTCCTGTTATAAAAGACACTCAAGCAAGCTTTTACTTTTTTACACTGCATACAAAACGCTGCTAATTTTAGCCTGAAATATCAGTCTTACACAATAACTAACTTTCTATGACAGTAAACAGTGTGCGAGGAATTTCCTCCCGTTTTTGTTTTCACTCCTACACACCTGCCTTACAAAAAAAGATTCACAGTATTTTCCATTTCAAGCCAGATTTAGCACCCTATTAAACATCACTTCGCATAATTCTCCACTTTCATTAATCTCTCACTCTTCTTCAGTTCATCTTTCGGCTCAAATACTGTCTTTTCCAGTCATTTCTGACTCCAAATGCAGAGTCCAAAACAAACAGAAGTCAGCACCTTTCTCTTCTTATACTCACTTTATGGCCTCAGCGAAAGTCAAAGTGGATTATATTCCTGCCCACTGCCTCTCAGAGATCAGAGGTTTATAATAACATATGGATTAAGGCTCATAATAAGTCTTTGCCATGTGTGCAGATTGGCCGCACATGCATGAGTGAACATAAAGCCACTGTGTTCCTGTTTGAGAGCAGGATGTGTCTAATTTCGACCTCAGGCTGGACGTGTGGCAGCTTATAGACTCTTATAGTCCTGTACCAGAAATCCATATGTTTTATAAGCCCAGGAAACACAGGAAGTCAGGACTGAACTGGATTTGAATGTTTACGAGATATGAATGAGCGCTGCAGCTGAGTCGAGCTGCAGAGACGTTTGCTCGTCACCCGGAGAGGTTTCGGCAGCCTCGCATGTTTTCAAACTAAATTTAGTTTTGAGGAATTCAGCAGTACGTGTGAAAAACATTTGGTCATAGCAGCCGTGCAGAAAGTCATCCAGCTGTCAGACAGTTACAGTGACAGAACGGCACTGTAACTGCAGAGGGAGGCGAGAGTCTGAAAGACGAGAACACAAAGATCCCCAGAGACCAAGTCCTTTTTTTTTATGCAACTTGAATAAATCTCTACTTTCTGTTTTTTTAATTTAGATCCTGCTACTAAAACACTTTTTATTGTGCTTTCTGTCAGACGAAGAAGGCAGGATCTACTTTAATTGGAAATAAGACTTCAGACGTAACGTGCCACCTTCAGAGATGCAGAAACATCATTTACAAAGTGTTTAAGATGTATTTACACAGGCTGCTTTTATCTACGAAAGCAGCGGTTAGCTTTAAAACAAATACTCTGACGTCTTTATCGCCTACGGTTTTTCCCCTCAGGGTTTCTTCATGGCAGACACTACTAAGAGCAGGAAACCATTATGGAAACACTTTGAGTTACATTCACAGAGGAAGCTCCCCTCAGAGAAATACTTCGTTTCAAGGATGAAAATTTAGTCTGAGCAAAGATGACCTTTCAAAAGCCTGCTGGTTATGAACTGGCAGCTCAACAAACAACCAATAAGCCTGATCTAAAGCTGCGTTGAACCTAGACTTTAGGTTGTTTTTTTGAATGGTTTATTTTTGAGCTGTATCTCTCGTTTTCCCCTCTCTCTGTGCTCCGGATGTATCTGCGTTCAGTCTAACTGGGACTGTTTCCAGTGGGACTGGTTCCAGCTCTTGAGCCAGCTGATCTTCAGCCTTCCTGCCCACTGCTGCGTCCGTCTGCCGCCTCCGTCTCCCTGCTGACTGTATGTTATCATTTTACACACATAGACCTCACAGTGCAGCGTTATAATGATGGTGAAAATAGAAAATTCCTGACGTATGAAATTGAGGGATTTCAGGGATTTCTTCAAAGTGGAGCTGTCTGTGGTGCTGAATTCCAAAGTGGCTTATGGCTTTAACAGAGTAAAGACAGTTTCGGTTGTTTTTAGTGATCATGAGACTAAAATTGAAAGTTTAAACAAAATTAATCAACTAAAAATGTCTAATTTCTAAATTTTCTGTCGCTTTTTTAATGCTGGTGTGGATCTGATCAGAATGTATTGCACATAAATAAGCACAAATTTAAAGCTTGATTTGGTAACTAAAACACATAAATGGTAAATATATAGTTTATTAATGTTTACTCATCATTTAGAAACAGCATATAGACCAATTGTAAATGGTATGACTAGAGAAGCAAACAGTCGACAACATTCACTTCTTGAGGGGGTGTCTAACTCAGAGTTACAGTGTGTTTGACCATAAATTAAATTTATGCCGGAATATCCCTTTAATTATAAAATGATTATTATAAACATCAGTTGCAACTTTACAATAACCATCAAAGTAATGTGTATAAATGGTTTAAAAACCAAATATTTACCATTTACAAAGTGCTACTAATACATATTTCTATATTTATAGATGTTTTAAAACAATTTCTTAAAGATATTTAAAACTTCTATAAACTTTTAATAAATAGTCAATTAAGAATTCATAAAAATTCATCATAATTTATTTGCTTGTGAATAGTAAAGTAACATTAACTTACATTAATAAACTATCTTTTTACCATTTATAATTGATGGTTAAACATTAATAAACTATCTGCTTACCATTTATAAATGGTCTGTTTACCATATATAAGTTATTGTTATTGTAAAGTTTTACCCTTAATTTTCTTCTGAATGATATAGAAAAAATACTCTGGAAGTGTACTTAAAAAAGTCTTCCTAAGTCTGAGAAATATATTTTTCTATTTAAAGCCTATTAGACCAATTTTCATATCTCGAGTTTGACTGAATTATAAGACTGTTGAGAAATCCAGCTCACATAGGCGCAGGGATCCTTTTATACACAAATATAGTGCTGGTTTTTATCTTTTCCAGACTCTTAATTTGAAGTCATATATCTGCCGGCTTATTCCTGACCTCCCTCTCAATAGAGGTGAGATAACTTCAGACTCTGGAGAATTCAAGCTGAGTTCTTAAAGCTCTGATAAAGCCAAATTAAGCCTCGAAGCAATTCCAGGCTCTGAGTTTGAGTTTTTATAATTTATGCCAAAATCCCTTATTTGATATCTCAGTTATCAGAGTGAGTGTTTAACGCTTAATGAAGGTCGACTGTGACGGCAACACCTTTAAAAATACACCCTAAGAAGAAATGATCGTCCCTAAACTGTACAGGTCACAGCTGTACAGTCATTAAAGCTCCTGTGGGGAGTTTTTTCACATTTATAAAATACACTGAAATTTAAATTAATGATTTTTTATGATATATCAAAGCAAACAAGATTGATGAATTTTGTATTTTAATTTCTACAGTTTGAAACCAGTGTGAGTTGGCGGCTGAAGAAGCAGCCGTGCTTTTACAATATCAGCATAAAATATTCAAAACAATTTTACATATGATGGTCAAAAATCAGCCGTATAAGACTTTTGCCTAAGGACACAACTTAATCATGTTAATTATCAGAAGCATCCATCATTATGAACTCTTAAATTAAAGCTACTGTCAGAAATCTTAAGCACGGATCTGTATTGGCGCCCCTGTGGTACTTATTAAAATATTTTGTGTCTTATCTTTTTGTTTTTTAATACTCAATTGCAGTAGCGGTTCTAGGCACGGGCGAACAGGGCAGCCGCCCGGGGCGGCATTTGTGTCATGACTCATGGGGGGCGGCACGAGCACTTCCAAAAAAATAAAATAAAAGATAATAATGATAAATCTTAACCGCAAAGCGGTTTTGTATTAACTCTTGTTGTCAAATTGGCGCCCCCCGCTGCTGTAAGCGCCCCTGCTTGCTCCGAAGGTGCTGCACAGAGGCTGACAGACTGTGTGAGACGAGGCGGGGAGAGGGTCGCGGGGGGACAGCTCTGCTCTGTGTACGCATGTCAGCGTATCAGCGGGAGCGCGGCTGCGCATTTCTACTCTGCCAGGAGCGCGGAGACGTCATTTTGTAGTTTTTTAATCATTTCTAGAGTCGTGGTGAATGAAATCACCGTACCCGTCTGCCTTCGATAGGCGAATAAAGCGCTCGGGTTCATGCTCGGATCTTGCTACGTGCTTGATGAGCTTCATGAGTAAAGTAAACAATGACTGAGGCAGAGAGCAGCTTCAGAGGAGAAACATCCAGCAGTGTGAACAACCTCTTCATATGGAGTGCTTTGGCTCACACTATCAGCGTTTTCTCTGAGTGTTGCATGACTTTGGGTGAGAACAGAGATGAACACACTGTCAGCCACGTATTTATTTATTCATTTTTTAGTTTTTAGTTCTGCTTTTGTACTGGCAGTATACTGGGGCAGCTGTTTACCCTTTCAACACCTTATTTTCTATATTTACATTTGTATTAAATGGACACTTTATCATGACTGCCACTTGTTTTACAGAAAACAAATTATTTGTCATTCTCCAGTGCAGAGCCTTTACTTTTATTTATGCAGCCGCTTTATTTCATTTAAGTTTGTTTGTTCAAGGTTTAAAAAATGTGATGAAGGTCTGCAAAACTAAAAGAGAGCTTTCTTGAAAGCCACATGTATAAGCTCTCAAATACTTTTTGAATTTTGTTTCTATCGACTACAGAGGCCGAGATAACAGCTTTTTTGTAAACCTTAACACGTCAGAAAACCTCAGGATCTGGGAGACCTTCTGAAAATGGCCCTCAGAATTGTGTTGTCTATTGAAGGATTTCTGCAATTGAGAAATATTTTATTTTTGTTGTTCTAATCATAATAATACTAGATAATAATACAAAACTATCTGTTCAAAATTCTATCTCTTTTTGTGTTTGTTTGTTTGTTTGTTTGCGTGTGTGTGTGTGTGTGGGGGGGGGGGGGGGGGGGGGCACTTGGAGGGGTGCTCGCCCGGGGAGTAATTTGGTCTAGAACCGCCACTGCTCAATTGTTTCTCTTATGGAATATTTCTGCACCTTTTTAATATCTTGAAATAATAATAATATAAAAAACGTATTTCAAATTTTAGAGCTACAAAAATATGAATAGCTTGATTTTTCTTAAAAATTTCTCGACAATTTGGGGTTTATCTAACTTACAATAACTTATTTTTCCTCACTCTTTATGTTTTATTGACAATTTGTAGCATTTGGCCTCCATATAAGAAAAATATTGCATATTTTCCCTATCTGCATTATAAAAAAATATTGTTTATTGCCTGATTTATTTAAATTTTTTGAAACATTTTTCTGGAAATTTACCATAAAATTACTTATTTTTCTTAATCTAGATGTTTTCTTGACTGTTTGCAGCATTTGGCCACCATATCAGAAATGTAATGCATATTTTCCTTATTAAAAAATATAGAGTTTATTGCTTGATTTATTTTAAATTTTTAAAATTTCCTGGATATTTAACATAAAATAACTCATTTATCTTAATCTATTTTATTTTACTATTTGCAGCATTTGGCCTCCATATCAGGTAAATATTGCATATTTTCCATATCTTCCATCTTAAAATTTATTGCATGATTTATTTTAAAAATTTCCTGGATATTTAACATAAAATAACTTATTTATCTTAATCCAGACGTTGTATTGACTATTTTCAGCATTTGTTCTCCATATCAGGTCAGTAAATATCACTTGATCACATATTGATCGGTCTATTTCACACAGGACGATAAATAAATAAATATATTACACACACTCTGCTGGTTTCTCCCTGTTACCATAGCAACACCGGCGTATTTACACCAACATGCAGTCCTGACTGTCGCAAACAGCCTCAGCGGATAGCTGTGTGTGTGTGAACGTTTGATCCCCAGATTCCTCCGGTCAGACCTCAAACTGGGACCAGAGAAACCAGTATGAGTGTTTGACAGCAGCAGAAACAGAACGCACACTCTCTTACGTACAGTGATATTTTATTAATGTTATTAATCACGCGGGATCCTGTGGTGGGAAATAAAGACAAAAGGAAAATAAAGAGAAATGTTGTTTTTCTGGATCAAACTCAGTCCGAGTCTGATCCGGTTCTGCAGAGACCGACGTCCTGGAGCGCCGACTGTGTTTTACAGTCTGTCTGCATTGCGTCGAAACCCCCCTCCTCTCCTCTTTCTCACTCACTCACTCACTCTCTACTAACCCCTCCCTCCCTCCCTCCCTCCTTCCTTCCTTCCTTCACTCACTTCTTCTTCTTTTCCCTCTCTACGTGAAATCCTGCAATATGCTTCCAATTTACCGGACACTCATCCTCCGTCTCCTGGATCCTGCACCGGGTTCCCTCTGAAAGAGAAAAAGAGAAAACGCCTCTCCCTCCTCTTTCTCTCTCCCTCTCTCTCTCTTTTTGAATTTTTTTACCGCAGCAAAAAGCAGACAGAGCTTCTTTCTGCTGATGCTGCAGTGTCCAGTCCTCCCAGTTCTCCTCCCGTCACACTGGCAGCTCTGATGCGGCTTTCTTTCTGACATTTCTCCTTCGCCGTCCTCCAGCATGATTTTAACACATTGTCACTCAGGATTTGTGCAGCCGAGCCGCGGTTCAACGCCGTCTGAAGCCTCCTCTTCCTCCTCCTCTTCCTCCCGCTGCTGCTGCCGCTGCTGCTGCGGGCTGCTCCGATCGACGCTGAAAACCTACACTAAGAGGATACGGATGTTAACCAAGACAACATAGTCTATTAATTTTTCAGATACGCTGTAAAACGAGATCAGTATTAAAGCCAAGTTGGGGAAGGTGCGCAGGGGTGAGGACGTTACTTCCATCTGCTGCACCTAAACTCTGAACAGGTACGTTTTTTCATCTGCATTTCCATATTTCACAGATCAGTTCAGCTTATTCTGTTCATGTAGATGTGTCAGATATCTGTCCGGCTGCATAATAGTTCATGTATGAGGTGAAACTATTTGTCCTGATGTGCGCAGAGAGGAAGCGCAGCAGGACTGCAAACTTGAATACTGATGTATGCGGCACAGGCTGGAGTACAGTACTGCATGATGTTTTTCTGTCGTGCCTGAGCAGATAGACTCGTCACTCCCGATTCTGATTCCTCCTCCCGCAGGTGAAGGACGAAGCTTTGCTGAGAGGAAGATGTCCAGCTCGGAGAAGATGATGGTGCCGATGATGGAGAGGGAGGCTCTGCGCAGCTCCTGGCCTCACTAGAGGCGCCTTCGCTCCGTCCTGCTCCTCCTCACCTTCACGCCGCCTCCTCTTCCTGCCCCCCAACAGCCAGGAAGGATGACCGTGGTGTCCACAGAGAACATGGATGAGACCTCCACCCTGCCGGGGCACCCGCAGGACCCCTACCCGCCCGACGACGACCACGATGATCATGACTGCTGTGAGCGGGTGGTCATCAACATCTCGGGGTTGCGGTTTGAGACCCAGCTGAAGACTCTCGCTCAGTTCCCCGAGACTCTCCTCGGGAACCCAAAGAAGAGGATGCGCTACTTCGACCCTTTACGAAACGAGTATTTCTTTGATCGGAATCGCCCGAGTTTTGACGCCATCTTGTATTATTACCAATCAGGGGGGAGGCTAAGAAGGCCGGTGAATGTGCCGCTGGATATGTTCTCGGAGGAGATTAAGTTCTACGAACTCGGGGTGGAAGCCATGGAGAAGTTTCGTGAGGATGAGGGTTTCATCCGGGAGGAGGAGCGGCCCCTCCCGGACAATGAATTCCAGCGTCAGATCTGGCTCCTCTTTGAGCATCCTGAGAGCTCAGGGCCCGCCCGGGGGATCGCCATTGTCTCAGTGATGGTTATTCTCATTTCAATTGTCATATTTTGTTTAGAGACTCTACCAGAACTGAAGGAGGACCCCAACGACCGAATACGGATAGTGGGGAACACCACTGTGTATTACAAACCAAACGTCCTCACAGACCCTTTCTTCGTGGTGGAGACTCTCTGCATCATCTGGTTCTCCTTTGAGTTGATCGTTCGGTTTTTCGCTTGTCCCAGCAAGGCGGCCTTCTTTAAAAACATGATGAACTCCATCGATATCGTGGCTATAATCCCGTACTTCATCACGCTTGGAACGGAGCTGGCTGACGACCAAGAAAACAAGGAGGGGAAGGGAGGAGGCGAACAGGCCACGTCTTTGGCCATTCTCAGGGTGATCCGTCTGGTGAGGGTGTTCAGGATCTTTAAACTGTCCCGACATTCAAAGGGACTCCAGATTTTGGGACAGACTCTGAAAGCGAGTATGCGGGAGCTGGGCTTGCTCATATTCTTCCTCTTCATTGGTGTAATTTTGTTCTCCAGTGCTGTCTACTTCGCCGAGGCCGAGGAGAAGGGATCGTACTTCACGAGCATCCCTGATGCTTTCTGGTGGGCCGTGGTGTCCATGACAACTGTCGGCTACGGGGACATGTACCCCGTGACCATCGGAGGGAAGATCGTTGGCTCTTTGTGCGCCATCGCTGGAGTGCTAACCATCGCACTTCCTGTTCCTGTCATTGTGTCCAATTTTAACTACTTCTACCACCGGGAGACGGAGGGCGAGGAGCAGGCACAGCTGCTCAACGTCAGCAATCAGAACTTGGCGTCAGAGACCAACTCGAGCCGCCGCAGCTCCTCGGTGGTCAGCAAGTCGGAGTACATGGAGATAGACGAGGACCTGAACAACAGCATCGATAACTTTAGGGAAGCTAACCTTAGGACTGCCAACTGCACGGCGCCGAGCCAGAACTGTGTGAACAAGGGGAAACTGCTCACCGACGTGTGAGGCGGCGTCCGAGACACCGGTGTAAATATTGTAGAAATAATATGGATGCTTTATCTCCATTGGTGCATTTTATTCTTCTTTTGCATTCATTCAAACACGTGTGAAGACTTGAAGAGTTCGACTCACACAAGGTTAATTTATTAAAAGATAGCGGCTCAGTTTATTTCACGAAAACAACAACGATGGAGTTGTTCGGCAATAGTTCAAAGATCAGAAGGTGTCAGGGAACTTTTTGATAAATTATACAGTTATATTAGAAACCTGTACCGTTTACTCATTTATATTAAAGTGCTAAACATACTGTGCACATACAGATTAGTATTCACTGAAAGGATCTTGCATACCAAGCTAAAAGAAAATCTGTTCCAAGATACTGTTGAGTTGCATTAGGTATTCGCCCCAAACTAGAGACTGTCTGGTCTCCCAACTTCTACCTAAAGTACCTAAATTTGACCAAAATTTGTAGATGTACTTGGCTTTGTTGGTGTTTAAGGTCTGGGAAGTAAGGGCAAACTCTTTTCAAGATCTCACAAAAGCAAGAAAAAAAGCGGAGATGTCGTCAAATCGCCTGATGTTAAAATCACGGGAACCAGAGTTTTGTTTCCAAACCTGAGACCACAGTCGGGTGTTTTTGACCCTCATCTCTAACATTTGGTTCTCCTCCAAAAGATTACACATTTACCCTCCTGGATCTTGTTTGACAGGGATGCAAAAGCACCTGTAAGCTCATGGCTTATATTTGTCTTTGATCAAAATTGACAGTCCTTTACCGAACACGATTGCGCAGAAGTCTTACAGAAGTTGAAACTCAGTTGCATCAGCAGGAACTGAAGGAACCTGTGTGTTTTTGAAGTTTGCTTCAAACTGGAGACAGAAGTTGGCGTGTTTAGTCTCAGTTGCGCCAGATTTGCTCATATTTCCTTGAAGCTAAGCGCAAAATTGACGGCGTGCTCCTTTAATATCTGAAACGTCTTTTCTTTATGAAAGTTGGCAGAGACGCAGCAGTACAGCTCAGGTTAAGGCTGTTTGAGAACAACTCTTTGCTGTCTTTGCTGTCTCTGAAATGTTATTTATAGAGTCACAGCTGATCTCGGATGAACTGAAATGACGCATCCTGCAGAGAAAATATCGTTCTGGAGGTGTGTGGAGATAAAATTATCAAAGGAAGCAAAAAGAAAGATTTGTGTGTTTGGTTGGATACAGACATTTTAAAGATTCAAAGAAACACAGGTTCAGACACTGTTCAGTTTTTCACACGATAGTTTATCAAAAGTCTCCCGACACTTACCAGGATCTTTGTGCAATAGACTCAACTTTCAGAATAAAAGAAAATGAAAAACAAAAAAGCCCGACTGAGATTTGACGAGCATGTTGGAGGTCGACTTCCTCACCTGAAGAACACATTTCTGAGTGGATTACAGTTGGGAGTTTTTCGGAGGCACATCCAGGGACATTTTGGGAAAACTCAACAGCTAGATCGACTTTTTTTTTTTTTTTTTTTTCTCGAGGCACCTTATCAGAAACAAACAGGAAGTGTGCCGAGCCTTGTGGAGGATTATCTGCACTGCTGCTGCTGCTGCTACAGGTCGGCTGGAGGTTCCCTGTATGATGCCATGCAACACTCCTTTATACAGAAGCATGTGGAGACGCTCTTCTCTCTTATATCGGCATGCACAAGACGTTACCTCATTTTTAGTTTGACTTTTTTTTTTTTGTTCTTCTTTGGCCCTCATCCTCTCCTCTGAGGAGACTGTCCCTCATTCGTTTTCACCAAAAGTGCACTGGCTATTTATTATGGTTTCAGTTCTTTTCAAGCATTTAAGTGTTGAATGTTAAAAGCATTAAGGGAACAGGAACACTTCTTTTTCGAAGATCATGGCATGTCAAAAATACTAAAAGCATTATGGCCTAATTAGCTATGGTATAGCTATGTATACTCAATGCATGACTACAGTATTAAATTGCTTGCAGCCGTGGAGGGACCTCGGGAGCTGGGGGATGATGATGATGATGATGATTTTCCTCATTATTGTCGAGCTAACGACAGGATACGTTGCATGACGGAGCAAACTGCCAGAGGGGACAAATCTGCTGGAAAAAAACAAAAACAATGAAGAAAAAAAAAAAAAAGAAAATCAGAAGAGACAAATCTGATGATGATCTCTGAAAAAATGACATTTCAGAAAATAACACCTTTCTTATTTATTCAAGGCGGTGATATTTGACGACGGAGTGCATGGGATCATTTTATGTGATTTGTGACCCCGTTTTTATTTCTTGCATTTGTCTTTTAAAAACCGTTTCAAAGAAGGGAAAAAGTAATATTTAAAAAAAATTCATAGATATATCTAAAAATTAGTTTCTAGTGCCTTGAACCCCGACTCATTCTAGAATTGACTAAAGTGCCTCCCGTTATGATAGACGTGCAGCTTATCTCCTCCTGCCATAAAGATGCACTACTCCCTGCACACCTGGAAAAAAAAAAAAGAGGTTTATCGTCTAACAAGTTCAGATAAAGACATGAATATATTCCTCGTTCTGGGGCCAGATCTTTGGGCCTTCATGAACTCGTACCTGTCCTGGTAAATGACACACAGCTGCGGTGCAAAACATGGACTTTTTTAGTGGAAACTGTTGAGAATCTTTGTGAAGTCAACCATTTTGAAGTACAGCTTTGTCATTGGGAGAGGCAATTGTTGGAAGTCAAGTTTTTGTACCTGTTCTGACAGAAAATGTGTCTCAATTCAGGGGGAGCAATTCCTGGGAAGGACCCGACTTTGGTCTGGTCTGTGACTGACATACTGTAAACCCTAAAAAAATGCTATACAACTTGCCATTGTGGTGTTAACTGAGCTCGAACTTAATAACTTGACCTTGAATCTAAAAGACGAATCATGGTTTCCGAACCCTCTACGGTTTTAACGCTCGTACTGCCAGCTCAGATTGAGTTCAAACCAACGACTTGCATTGGAAGCGTGTTACTCTGCCATGTCCTCTGATTGGGGCACATTGCACTTTAGGGTATGTCTGGTCATGAAGGTCGCTCTGGATGTGGTCTTTGTAGTCTATTTGTTGGATGCATTTGGAGGACAGCTATCAGTCTTGAAATGTAGCCCCTGAATTCAGACACAGATGAAATTAGTCAACCAGATTAGATTTCCTAGTGTGAACCTAAAGGTTGACGCATGAATTAGCCCTCATGATTAGCTTCTTTAGCTCATTTCAGGCAGATTTCTACTAATTCCTTTTTTTTTTTTTTTTCTGGCAAATTTGGAAGGCAAGTTGTTTAAACGAGTCCAAAATTAGACTCAAATTGTCAAACTTATCACTTATCAATAACCTTTGCCATGAAAATGTAAAAAAAGACTGTCTTTGATAGAACATCATCAATGAGTTGATCCAACACCAGCCCTTGGAGGCCAATATGAGGCGATACAAACATCTACGAGGAAAAACAGATCTTTAAGCTGATGGTCTTGTCTGCTAGCTAATGTGATCATTTTAAATATTTAGAGTATCTATCCACAGTTTCATTATCTTCTTCTTCATCATGATAGTCTTGAGCTATTTATCTGAAACTGACTTGGAGGGGCTTATTTGCTAATCCTGGAGGCTAATTATGGTGTTTATTTACGTTGTGGCTTATGCTGCGTTCAAGTTACCTCGGAAGTCAAAAGTCGGAGCTGAAAATGACGTCACACCTGAGTTACCAGTTCAGTCACCAAATCGGAGGCAGAAGCAAGATGGCTACATCTGCGAAAGTTATCTTAGCACTTGCCTTGTCCGAATATAAGGCTAAAATAAACTAAAATAACTTAAGTTGATGTAGCCATCTTGTTTCCGCCTCCGATTTTGCTTTTTTCCAACTTGGTAACTGAAACACTGGTAACTCGGTGTGACGTCATTTTCAGCTCCGACATCTGACTTTCGAGGTAACTCAAACGCAGGATTAGAAACAAGTTCTAAGCATGACGCTGTTAGAACTTTAGTTTATTTGAAACTTTCGAATCATCAATACAAATGGGCTAAACCATGAGAATAAATCTAAGACTTTAACTACCCTAAAAAGAAAAAAAGATAGTAATCATAATCGGCAGATAACAGGTTTGGTGGCTGGAGAAAGGATGGTGTTGATTCGTCATAAGGCTCATTATTTTTCATTATCTTCAATATAAAGATTGGATATAAAATAAATTAATAAATCACAAAGTGATTTATTCTTACAGGGCTGTAGCAAGATATTTCACGGGTACTAAACTTTCAAAGAGGCCTAAAATCTAAAGTTTTACGTAGTTTTGACTTCACTGCCATCAATCGTAGCTACGGTCCCGACTGTTGCGTTAAATTCCAGATGCACTCTTGTTGCTGCAGAGTCAGCAGCTCCTGTGCTTCTTCTCTGAACTGCCGTCACCAGAGGAGCTGGTTCTCGGTGAAATCAGCCGAACAGCGTCCTCTGGCTGCAAAAACACTGCCACCGCTCTCCGATACTCTGGACCAAAATCTCCTGCTGAGAAAAGACCTGCCGCTGTTTATTTTCTTCTTTTATTGAAAATCTGGAAAGTAATGAGCCGTTCACGTCCACTGCCTTTCCTCTGATGTTGAACTACGAGTCACTCTGTGGCTGGTCTCCAAGCCTGTGTAGCCTCTGGACAATATTAATGCAGCGTTATCTCATTTTGATGAGGGCTTACATTGTCCAACATATCCTCAGCGTTAATTATAAAGAAATTAGGGAGGAAATATCTGTTTCCAGAGCCTGTGAGAGCTCATCTGTGGATGCTGCTGCAGAGAGATAATGAATGTGACCACAGTCTGTGTTTTTTCTCTCCGCAGAGCAGCGTTCAGCTCAACATTACCACAGGCATTAGTCACTCTGCATGCCAGTAAAATGGCTGCTGCTGCTGCTGCTGCTGTGTTGTTGTGAGAGGACTGAGCACATGGCTGTCCGTGCCGCATGTTTTCAGGACGATGCGATGTTAAACGACAACATGAGGAGTGATTAATGACAGTGGAGGGGACGGTGGGAGCGACAAGAAAAGTGCTGACTCAGCCTGTTCCCATGAAACATGCACCATGAACAGCTTATGTGCACATAGATCGTGCACATACTTTTGGTTTTGTTTGAGTCATGGTTTCAGATGACTGACGGGTTAATGTTGCATATCTTAAAGCACCAGGATATACCTGATATCTCCTGATGCTTTGAAACCGGGAGAAGACACCAGGCCAGATCTGTGAAACTTGACAATTTAACGCTCAAGTCAGACTCCACAAACTTTTTGTCTGTTACCATGGTCACTGTGTCTGATTAGGAGACAGCAGGGCCAGAAAATGGTGCCTCGACTTGACCAACAGACATGCCAGACTCATCAACTGTACTCAAAGGTAGAGAGGTTGTATAAGAGGAGACCGTAGACACTTTGAGACATAGATGTTGTCTTAGTTGCATCACCTGTTGTCTCTGAAGTCGAGATTTGAAGCCTTTTAGCAGTGAATTAATTTAGACACAGCAACACTGAGTCAGACAGAACATCATAAATGTTCTTCCTTGAGCTGCGTCACCCCACAGCAGTCTGTAATGGACTGGCCTGAGGTCTCGCTACAAACAAGCGGCTACTGGAAGAGAGTAGGTGAGCTGTGTTTAGTCTCTTTCCTAAAGAAATTAGGCAAAGTTAAAAGGATGTTTGGTAGCTAGTGCTGCGACTGGGACCCTATATGTCCTGTTGATGAAGTTAGGTGCTGTTCTGAGCATTATTTGTGGCGTTTTGGTTGAGGTTTGTTTATGGCTCCTCAGACCGCTGTGTATTGCTATTGTGCGGTTGTTACAAAAGTTGGTAAAACTAGAGAAGCAAGCGGCAACATTCATCTCTCTGGGGGGTGTCTAACTCAGTGTGACGGTGAGTTTGACCCTAAATTAATTTTACACCGGAACATCCCTTTAAAATTCACCTCATACAGACATGCGTTATCTAAACCCAAACCTCTTTTTGAATCAGACTGTAAACATGTTATTTTTGCTCCTTTGAATGAGTGTGTATGTGTTTTTTGGTACTTCTGCAGCCAGCCCCTAGTGGACACTAAATGAACTGCAGTTTTTAACACTTGTGGATTAACGTCATTTCTTAAATTTGGAGGTTTGCTTCTAGGACGACACCCAAAAATGCAAACAGTAGTTACTCGGCAGGTCGCTAAGGTGCATCTTCTACTGTTCGCCGATATTTGGTCTTTTGTGGTCATCCTCTGTTGACACGTCATAAATGCAGAAACTTAACCTGTCTTATAGTTCCAGCGTAGGTCCCAGATGTGCCCTGGTGGTCAGATTAGAGTCCTGCACCTAAAGTCACAGAATAATCGGTTGACTTAAAACTCTGTTTACATGTAGATGGGACACCAAACATGCGTGGACGGGGCCTTAAGAGGAAGAAAGAAACGGCAAACATGCTAGACTTTGTGTTGGAAGGCTTCATAGACCCGACCCGGCCTTGATTGACTGACTTTCTGATGGGTAAATCATGACTGACATGGGGCTGGTTGATCCTGATGCCAAATCACTGCCATCACTCTCAGTTTGATGACTTTAAGTCGATTTCCAGTCAAGCAGATTGTAGATCTGAGATCGATCTCAGACTCTTCATCATGTCTGGAGTGTTTTTCAGTTTAAGTGTTTGTAAGTCGTCTCTGCAGAGTGAAACTTGTCCTCCTCAGTGAAGAGGATGAGTTTTATTTCAGAGGGTTGAAAATCAGAGGCTTTGTGTCTCAGCGAAGAGCAGAAACAGATCAGAGTTTGAAAAAGCATCTCCTTCATAAACTGCAGCTTCTGTGGATGAAGCAGCAGCAGCAGCAGCAGCAGAGCCTGGTCTGACTCACTACATCTCGTTACATAAGAGTCTGCAGGTTTTTTTTATTCCAACCAAACAACTTTTAAGTAAAATCAGCTGCAGGAGGATTTGGTTTCGACTGAAATAAGTCTGCAGACTCATCAGCGGGGTTTTAAAGTGAAAATATTTACTGCGACTTTTGGAGTTTAGGAGCTTAATGTCATCGGAGCTGAAGTTAGCAGCTCCTTATAAGTCCTGAGAAGCACACACAGACACAGGTGAACTCAGGCCTCAGGTGTGTGTGTGTGTTCAGAGTTTGGTGCAATTAGCCCTGATAAAAGCCCTGTTTTGACTTCATGTCCACATGGAAACTGGATTTTTTAAAGACTGCACAGGTGGTCTTAATGATTTGGCCGGTAAGTGCACGCATTTTAGTTGTCCACATCCTGCAGCATATTTGCCATGGTGCCTGAGGATGTTGTCTAATATTTTGCGTGGCTGTAATCAGATAAAGAAGTGTTAAAGTTGGGCCATCAGTCAAAGTGCTGTTAGCTGATATTTCAGGAACTGATCTGATCAGTTAGGAGCAGCAGGGCGATGGTGTGGCTGAGTTCAGGCGCCCTGTTTGCAGCCCTCAATGCGCCGGTTACAAGTTCAATTTTCTGTCTCTGCATCAGTCTCTCCTTTTTCTTAAGCTGTGCTCAAAATGAAGGCTCCAAAACTCTCAGGTTCTCCAGTACGCTTCATCCCAGATGACGTGCAAATGAGCTGAAATTCAGCCCAGTCCTAAAATCAGTCGTGAAACTCAAAAATCGTTATCAGATTACAGAGTATCTGCCTGGCCTTTGGTTTGTCTTAGCCCTAAAACAGCCCCCTGAATCACAAAGTGCAGCAAAAACTGACATTAATTGATCCCTAATGTTGCAGGTGAACACTGTTTTAGTCATTTTTTACCTTATACTTGTGCTTTTACTGAGCTCAACAGGTCAAACACTGAAGAACTCAAACCTTACTGAGTGTATGAACGTTATATATCCACTCAGAATATGTGGTTACACTTGATATCAGGCATGTTAACCAAACAAGTCAAGATTTGTACCTTTTTCGAAGAACTTAAAGGCCCAAAACTTTTGGATTTAGCTGATTGTCGTGGGTGAAAGTGGCTGCAAAAGCAGTAAACAAAATTATCTGGATACATTTCTTGAAAAGATGTAAAACTAAACTTAATTAAGTCACGCAGAATGAGTTTGGCTTGCTGCACTCCTAGCTGTTTTTGCTCATTAGAATCTGTTAAATCCAAGTTTTTGGCTCTTATATTTGAATATTTGGACACTGACAGAGCAGCGTGTCTTACTTTCAGTGTTTTTGCAAGAAATGAAAGAAAAACACTCAGTAGATTGATAATTTGCAGAAACGACACGAGTTTTCTAGAGTCAGTTTGGTTTTAGTTGATGTGAGGTTTGACTTCTGATGACACCTGCGAGTTTAAAGTGAGTCACATCTTTGTGTGCAGACCCTGAAGTCAGTCGGCCTGATTAGCGGTATTTGGATTATTTCAGATTCCTGCAGAGAATACGATAAAACAGTTCAGTTCACTTTCTTTTTAAAGACGAGGGACAAACACACGTAGTTGACGTTTTGCATCAGTTTCACTGCCATTACTCTCATTTGTGCCGAGTATAAACTGTGCATGCATTGACAGAGTTAAAAATCACTGGGTTGTGTTTGGAGTCTGTGTGCAGCAGCAGCAGCTGTGTGTCATCAACCAGTAAATTAAAGGCCTGTTTCCTAAACTGCTGTTGAACGTGTGAGAAAAATAAAAAATAAAAAATCCCTTTAATTCACATTTCAGTCGGATAAAAAAAAAAAAAAAGAAAATACGTAGGAAGGTGCTACGTGTTAAACATGCAGTAGGTCCTAAGGAGCAAAATAACAAATTTCACCACTTTTTTTAGAGGATAAAATCACGTTATTATAGAAAAAAAAAGAACCTCTATATTTTTCGTGACTTAAATTAGTGATTAAAAAAATATCAGGGTAGTCGGTAGTCTTGTGGTTTTGATTAGTTTGTTCATATTTGAGTTTTAGGCCAAAGTTTGAGACGTTTCTGCACCAGAAGGGACCAAATCAAGTTTTCTAGTTTTTCATTTCATCAGAGCAGCTCGACAAAAACGGACAGGACACAGAAAAATAAAACAAAAATACAAAAAATAGACCATCTCTGGATTAAAGGTCATATGTTTTCAAACTCTTTCAGTATGTTGTCGTTTCTAATCTTTGGATATGTCTGTTTGGTATGCAGCAAACAGGAAACACACCCTCCTTTCAAATTAAAAGTTTGTTTTTTTGTAATAGAGTTTATGTTTTTAGTTTACAAGCTTCCAACTGCCGAGAAATGATCAAGTGTTTAATTTACAGACGATTCATCTTCGCCGAGCTGCATATCAACGATCTCTCTGTGTGTTCATTTCAGGCTTTTACAAAAATGTACATTATTTTCATGTTTCTTATTTTTTTGACTCCTAAGCCATCGACGCAGAGTTTCTCAGCCTGATCAGGTTTTTATTTTGACTCTGGTTCTGGATATTTTCACGAGCAGCATCTGTCAAACTGCACTTAGTCATGAATTATGATTTTTAAAGATGGAAATAGTGAAACATGCAGCTTTAACTAAACAATGCATGACTATTTTATGTCTTATGAAGCAATGGAGAAATTAAATGAAGTATGTTTTTTAAATCTGCATTTAAAGTGTGAACTGATTTGATTCGATTCAAAGGGAGGTGAACAAACTTTAGATTCATGAATTATTAATCTATTGTATTATTTAACCCGCAGGATTTACCAACAAATCAATTCTCAAACTGAATTTTATTGGAGTTTTTGATTGTTTTCAGACATTATAAGTCATTTCAAAACATGAAATTGGGCTTTTTTCAAATCATGATGATGTTTGCAAGATTGTTTTCCATTAATTTACAGTGTAGGGAAGTTAACTTTTTAATTTTTGTTCCAAATCCAAGTACAACGGTGATCAGTTCTTGCAATGGATTTCTGTATACAACATAAAAATGGGACAATGTTTTAAACCCCAATATTTCATTTAACATCATGCAAAGACAATTCGCTCATTCTAAATTTGACAGACAGCAGTAACATGTTTCTAAAAGTTGTTAGAGGAACAACCAAGAGAGAAACCGTGTTAGCTAAGAGCTCAACAGTTTCAGACTAATGTTCCTGGGTGTAAAATGTGAAAGAATAAGTCAATTTCATCATCTACAAAACATAATATCATCAAAAGGTTCAGATAATCTGGAGAAATCTCTAACCAATACTGGATGGTCCTGATTTTTAGTCCCTCAGGCGGCACAACATAAAAAAAAACAGACATGACTCTGTGGTGGAAATCACTGCATGAGCTCTAAATCATTTCTAAAAACCATCGACTGTGATCACAGTTGGTCCCTGCAAACCTGTAACTGTTCTGAAGTCTAGAAATCACAATTTGACTTTCCATGTGAAAATCATGGATGATACAGCCTCCGCTCTAAAACGAGAAACCAGATATAAACATGATCCAGAGACTTTCCTGGACCAGAATCCATTCAGGACAGACTGAGAGGAAGTGGAAAAGTGTCCTCTGGTCTTAGAAATCAAAATTTGAGCTTCTTTTTGGAAATTATAAACTTCACATACAAACTACACATCCAATCTTCAAGTCCCGAGACATGACTCTGAAATGGGAGTCACCACATGGAGTCAAAATCACTCCAAAATCCAATCGAATTCACAAATGCAGGTTAAAACTGAAACAGGCAAAGAGGAAACAGATATAAACATGATCCATATATGGTAGTGATTCAGATTGAGGGTTTAAATCATTAACAAAACATCAAATTACATTTTATCAACATAGAGTCTCTAAAGTTTAGGATCATAAATGTGTCAGACTGGTCATGGTTCTGGTTTATCTGTCAGGTTTGCTCTGAATAAATTTAACAATGACTACCTAGACACAAATAGTTTAATTATAATGAAAAACAGATTCCAGTTTTCATTTTTTTTCAAGTAATTATTCAAAGATGTAAAACCCTGAGCAGCTAAAAAAGGTGATTTTTTGTGTTTCCAAGCCGGAAATCTGAAACCAAAAGTCCAAAAAAACAAATGTGAACCGCAGACGACATCACAACAACAGTTGTAAAAGTCAATTCGGATGTCTTTGAAACTATTTTTACGGCTGAAAAAAGTCCCAGAGGAGCTGAGCTCACAAAGAGACGAGGAGCCAAAGTCAAACTAAAAATAACCGGGCTGAGAGACGCTGCGTTAGTCAGTGTTTCACCAGAGTTCAGAGGAATGTCTGTGATTTAAAAAGCCATGACATGATGATGATGACGATGATGAAGACGAGGATGATGAGGATGATGATGTCACTGAGTCTCTGATTGCTGCAGACGTTCAGCGCTGCTGGTAAAGTGACGGAGGCTGTACCATACGACCTGAACCTTCAGATGCAGATGGATGATCTATTTTTGCTGAGAAACATGAACATTCCTCCTCTCTGCAGATCAAACCCCCGATTTTCACCTCCTTTATTTTGGAATTATTGGATTCAGTCTCTGTCCGTGTGTTTCCTCTCGTGCTCGCTCACAGTCACACGCCAAAGTCTCAGAGATCGTTTCAAAACAAAGCGATGAGTTTAGTCGTTGACCCTCGCTGGGCTGCGAGATCCTCCCCGAACCCTGTCAGGTTTTTGATTTCGACTCTTTCTGGGTTCTTGCTGCAGTATGAAATGTTTGTCATCTGTTGCCGAGGCATAGTCTGTAACCTATGCAAGGTTAGTCAACAGTTAATATGTCCATCTGATCTCATCATATACAACAGTTTCAATAAAACCTGAAATAAAGAACAAGCTGTTTGGTGTCTTTACTCATCGATGCATTTAACGTGGAAACCTTTGTGAATCTGAGCGGTTCACTGAAAAGTCATAGAGTCAAATCAGTCATCAATCTTTTTAGGTAATACTTTTTAAAAAGTGCAAACAAGAGTATATACAAATAAAACTATAAAAGTATTGAAACACCAACCAAGTCAAACTGAAACAAACAAACAAATAGAGGTTGGAGTTGGGCAGCAGCACGTTCAGATGTGACCTCTCTAAAATAGTCCGGCATGTGAAGCAGCTCAGAGAGTCAAAACACAGTGACCCTGCAGAGCGGCATTAACACTAATATCACTGAGACTGTGAACATGATAGATTAACAGTCTGAACTGCAGGAAGAGGGAATTCCAGTCTATCAATTACATCGTTTAACAGCTTAATGTTTATTTATATGGATGTTTAAGTTCAATTTTTCTCTGAGCGTTTGTGATTCAGCTTTGATGGTGCACCTGTTGGTTTTTAAGAGAGTTGAAGGCTTGATTTACCAAGATGTTGCACAGCTTCTGCAGCTAATAAACAGGTTTTATAAAAGGATAAACTCATATTCATCTGGTTTATACTCAATTTTGTGGACTGATTTGAGCTACACAAGGACAAAAGTGTAAAGCACAGCATGTCGGGATGATGCTAATGTTACGTTCCAGTGACCTCCGAAGTCGGATGTCGGAGCTGGGAACGACGTTACAACCGAGTTGATGGTGTTCCAGTTAACAAGTTAGAAAACCAAGATGGACGCCTGCAGCTAGCCATTGTTAGCTGTCGTTAGCCGTTGTCAGTTGTTATTAGTCGTTGGCGGTTGTCACCTGTTGCTGTTAGCTATACCAGTTGTAAACAACGCACAACACAGTATTTTACTCAGATTACAAGTGCTTTCACTGTTACTCTTGACTGTTGATGCACTGCGCTGCCATCTTGGATTATGACCTTGTCGTCAAGTCGGGGTTGGTGAGGATCGTCTGACTTTCTGAGTCTGACTTCAGTGGGGTATTCCAGATGAATTTTCGACTTAGAGCTTGAAAATTCTGACTTCTGAGTACAACTGGAACGCAGCATAACCTGGGATTTTCACCGCACCTGGACCAGCTCCGATCTGGAACAATGGCGATTTTCATCATACGCCAATTCCTACCAGATCCGTTTGTGAGACGAATTTCGTGGTGGATTATGGACAGGGGTTATCGCGAGAACTCACAAGAAGTCGTGGATTCACGTGCAACCGCGTGGTGACAAGTTGTCTCTTAGCCACATAGGCTAACCATTTAAGCAGCAGATTGTGTCCTTCCAGAGGAGGAAATCTACTTCTAGACTTTCATTCATGGTGTCATCGGGGTGAAATGCTGTCTATAAACCTTTCACTTGTTTGTTCCCGCCTGTTTGCATGGTGTGAAATACGATCCGCCTGAAACACAGAGTGTTTTATTTTGAAAAGAAGCCGGATGTTTTATTTTGTGTCTGTGCTCGACTTCCTTTACAACACGGGTTAATCTGTACTGAATTTATCCGGCGTGCTCCGATGTCCGGAAAAAAAAGAACTCTTGCGATCAGCTGTGGAGTCTGGCGATCCGCAGCAGAACGGAAACAAGCCGGTGGAAATTCACACATTGACTTGAATAGTTACGATCAGCTACGATCATCAGATACGGCCTTTTCGTAGCCGTTCCAGATGCGGTGGAAATTGGGGGTAACAGCTCATCGTGGAACTCGGTGCAAAACAAACACAAACTGCACAGAGCTGCAGCCGTACGGGTGTGTTTGTGCTTGAAGAGCATTAAAACAAAAGCACTCTGTGGTGTTTTTGGTGCACCCCCTCTTCGTCTGTTATTTTGGGCTCTTTTTTGTCTGTCTTTCAGTTTGCACCCCACACTCCGTCCACTCCTCATTATGGGCTCTATCTTCTCTTTGGATCTGTCCCGTGGGCTGCAGCGAACGGTCTGACTCACACAGGATCTATTCTTACTGAGCTTAAAATACAACTCGTCTGTAACAGCTCCAACAACACAACCACAATAACAGTGACACCGTGCTGCACACTGAGAGCCCTCATCCCGCTGTACGGTACTGTACAAACAGCACAGGATCACCTCAGAGGAGCCCTCTGCAACACTTCTGGGGGGACTAATGCAAAACCGGCACCGCATCAAAGTTTGCTCATGTAACGTTGTGACTGAAGAGGGTTCATGTACAATAAGAGTTTCAAGGGTTCACACCACAGAATGCAAATTTACAGAATAATTCAGTCTGATTAAACGGTGTTCAACTGTGTGATAGAGATAAATAATTCAGACATCGTGTTTTTTCCCCCTGAACAACCATGTTGTGCTGTTTTCACCAGCCGCTAATGAGCTGCAAGAATAAGACAGAATCAGTAACAAATCCAGATGGTGCTGCATGTTAATGATGATAATGGTTTTACTTCATAGACGGCCTTATGATTAAAAAATGATGAAATTCTTCTTAATGTGGTTTAATTGAAAAGTAAATGGAAATAATTGCCCAGTTAGTAAAAAAACAAAGTGGATAAAGCGCTACTAAAAGAAGGCAGTTGAAGAAACTGAGGACATTTCTAGTAGGGCTGCAGCTATTGAATGTTTTAGTAATCGAGGATCCTACTGAATATTTCATTGATTAATTGAGTAATCGGACCCGAACTTCAGACTCAGACACAGTGAGATTTCCTATGTCACAAATCAAGAAATAGAGAGAACATTCGAATTGAAATGCTGTAAGAAAGCCAATTATTACATTAGCTTACATCATGTCCCTACAGACATTAGTGTCCGAGAGCTGAATAGCCCCTATGTTACCTGCTTCTGCGACTATACTGGCAATGTTAGGCTACAAGCTAGCGGGAAGAGGAGTGTGCAGAGCAGCGCTGTCTCCGCCCACGACTCAGCCGCGAATTGCTAATGAGCTACTGGAGCTCTGCAGAGGAAAAGACCCTATCATCAATTATTTTTTCCACTCCGCAAAACCAAAACTGCGCTTACTCCTCCTTCTACCGTGGTGTCGTAAGCATAATGTGTCACCTTGAAAATAGTCTGTGTGAAAACAGTGACGATTTGAGCTTATAAATAAGTACTCGAAGCAGAGAAGATTCCTTAATCCTTTTTTTGTAAGCGAGGTACTCAAGGAATCGTTTCAGCCCTGGTTTCTGGGGCATTTTTTCCAGCTGAGAAAATATCATTCAACCTTTTTTTGTGGTTCCCCTGTAGTGAAGAAAACCTGGTACGAGGCCCGTTTAGTGAATGGAATATATCACACTTCGGGGTTGTTTTACAGCAAAGAAAACTTTGGAAAAAAAATTGAATATGTCTTTCAACAGACGGGTTTCTGTGCAGCGTCATCGCAGGTATGCAAGAAAGAAAATGACAAGGAGCTGTTGTGGCGTAAACTGCACGAATCGGCAATAGAAACAACCGGCAAACATTATGAACCTACTCCTGATATTAGAAACATCTAAAACAACGTCACAACCTGGTAAATTGAGTGAAACTCATGGACATGTCAGTGTTTTTCTGATTTTGATGCAATGAAAGACAAAACGATTTTTCAATGAAGTGACATTTTATTGCAATTTTGTCAGGGAGAACTTGCAAACAATACGGCATCTTCATTGATATCAGTTCACTCCGAATCAGGCTTTTTCGTGCGCACCTAGTATTGTTTGTACTCAAGAAACCCGGCTATAGAGAAAAACATGAGAAAATGTCAGAAGGCTCTTTTGGGGAGAAAACATCTTACACTTCCATCTGAGTTCCTGTGTTGCGGAGAAAATCTGATGCAGTGCCCATTTAGTGGAGAAAACATGTAAGAGGGAGCCATACAGTTTACCTGTTGGTAGAATAGAAATAGAGAAAACAGAGTACATCACAGTAACGTGAATGAACCTTGAAAATCACCATCTAGACGATGTTTTTATTGGAGAAAATTTCATTCAACAAACACTTGTATACACAGTGATATAACTGACATGTTTGATAATATAAGACGTAGCTTTACCTTAAAATGTTGAACTGCACCTTTAGCGGACTGTGGCACATTTCGTCTCATGTGCTGCACGTCTCTGCTGGATTTAAATCCTGTTGCTTTCTCTGACACTAATTCCTGCACTCTTTTCATAAGATTGTGTTTTTGTGTGTGTGTGTGTGTGTGTGTGTGTGTGTGTGTGTGTGTGTGTGTGTGTGTATGTGCGCATGAATCATACCCAGGCTGGAGAGCACTGCGGCATACAGTAAATGTTAGAGTGTGTGCTGAAAAGAGAGGAGCTGTTTCTGTATATATGGAGACAGAGAGAGGGAGCCGGGGGCAGAGAGCATGTTAGGTTAGTGTGGGTGGACACAGAGGGAGATCCAGAGGAGGAAAAAAAACAACAGAAACAAAGAGAAATAGAGAGAGAAAAAAGAGAGAGGAGGAGGAGGAGGAGGAGGGAGAATACCAAACACAAAGAGGAGGGCTATTTGAGGAGAAGAGGAGTTGGAGAGGATGAAAAAAACAGGAAGGGGTAGTGACAAATCTGAAAATTCAGTATCAATGATGAAAATGAGAGCTGGTACCAAATCAAATTGAAGGACAATTTACAGTATCAAGGCTCAAACTGAGAGGTTGTCTCAGTTAAGAGGTTCGGCTTTCCGATCAAATCGTTCATTAATAAACATACATAATTAGCTAGAATTTTCAAATTTAACCAAACTGCTCGGCAGCAGGTGTTAGACTACTCAAGGGAAATCCAGGTGATCATTTCCATGCAAGGATGGCTGAACGTGCAAACAGGTATAAAGTTTGAAACAGACACGAAAGATAAGAAAGGAGGAAAAAATGCAGATTATGTTGCACAGAATACTTACGCAGTTTCAGTCCAGTTGAACATATGCTTTACATGGAAGAGAAAACAGATCTGCAACCGTATTATCTTGGTATGATAATTCGACAACAAGAAATATGACTGTATAATTTCAGTCAAACCATCGTGTTTACAATCAGACTGATGCTTTAAATCTATTTTTTCAACAGTCTGTAAATGTCCTGAGTGTGTTTAATGTTCTGTACTCTGGGTGTCTTTGCTGCTGCTCTCTCTGCAACTGCTTTGGGAACTCATGTACACACAAGGAAGGACAGGGAGCTTTAAAGTCCCACTATGATTTTTTTTACTACTTAAAGTGTCGTCATTGGTCTTTGAATTGTAATTATGACGTTTTTAGCCAAAACCATCCTCTCTTCTATTCTGAGTGTGGCCTGCATGGAGGGACTCCGGGGGCGGAGCTTGGATTTGTGATGTAGAAAATCTCACTGAATCTGAAAATCTCACTTCCACACAAAAGGATGTATGGTCACCCTAGTTTTATCTTGTATGGGGTAAAATAATGTAGAGCTCAATCCATAACCAAGGTTTTTTATTTTCTTGCACCCTCACGTTTGGAAAGTGTTTCATGAAGTAGCTTACAGCACCGCTGCATAGAATGTTGACAAGATGGATGGATGGATGGTGAGGATGCAGCTTGGTTTGCTGGATGGATGGATGTATTGTGGGATGAACAGATGGGTAAATAAATTGATAGATGTAAAGATGACAGACTGGCAGCACTGATGGATTGACAGATGAACAGATGAGTAGATGGATGGATAGTTTATTAATGGATTTATAGATGATGTATCCCCCCTCGCTCTGCGGTGCTCTCTGCTTGTGTAACGTCGGCTGCAGCAGAGTTCGGAGCTGCAGGGTCGAGATCTGCTCAATTATTGAGAGACGCTCAGTCGCTCTTTTGTTGGAGTGGAAATCTGCCAGCAGACTGATCTCAAACAAACCTCAGCCTCCGAACACATCCCACCTCCTACTTTTATCACGGTAAACTGGTATTTTAAAAAAAGCAAAATATGTCTGAGAAACGAGTGAAAGTTACAAAGATGGAAACACTTCTCATTCAGTCTGGTTTTATGATGGGATTTGGATCGGGGCAGGTGGGATGAGCCGTCCAGGTTTTTATTGAACAAGTCAGAGATTTTCAGTCAGAGAGAAGCAGCGAAACATCCCTTTGAGAGGTTTGTTTGTCCAGTCAGGTGTGGAAACAGTCATCCTGCTCAAACACAGCTGAAAATCACTGACCTTGTAGCTCTGATGTATAATGTGGGTGCAGTGCTGGCACAGGCTGCACACACCTACTCACATCCACCCACATGCACCGTCTCCCTCTCTCTCCCTCTCTCTCTCTCTCTCTTTATGCAGACATACAGACATGGCTAACCTAATAGCCCGCCTGTCTCCTCGAGTTTCATTTTCCACTGCAGCCTTCCAGCTCTTACCTGATCTGATCAATCCATTCAGGCCGAGCCGAGCTGAGCCGGGGCTGAGAGAGCCAGGCCTCTCCCTCCCAACACCAAACACAGACAGCCTGACACAACAGAGAACATTTGGCTCACTGTGTTTCTTTTCTTCCTCGCTCTGCTGACACAGAGCTCTGAGCGCCAAGACCGGCGTCCATATGGCCTCACAGCGTGAAGGAAAGGCAGCATGAAGAGACAGAACCTGCTTCTTTTCTGCTGTTTGTCCAGAGAGATACGGTCTATTCATTAGAGGAGTGAAACGACTGACACAGAGGCATAAAAATGATATATAATCACATTAATCTGCATCTAGACTGATAGTCACTCTTTGCATTGGATCTGTTGGCTCTCTGGTTAAAATGAGAATTGTTTTCCTTTACTTTTCAACAGTCATCTTTAATTTCTTTTAACTAAAATCACGTCTTTGCCTGAATTTTTAACTCTTTTGAGAGTATCAGGGTAAAATCTTGTTAGGTTCTAGTGTTTTTGAATCCTTTTTCATTGGTTTTGTGTTTTTCTGTGCGTATTATCTGCAAAAGATTGTTTGTCTGTTCTGTGATTTGTCCTCTTAGGGCCTGTGTACACTAACAACATTTATTTTTTTGCTCTGGAGTTATCGTTGTTCTTCGCAAAACCAACACAGCTCAAATTCATCCTCAACATCAAATGTTCTCAGAGCAGGAACTCGGGAGGATAACTAAATAAGCATGTAATAGATTTGAAGCAACTCGGTGGTGGTTGCCATATTGGATAAGCTGACTCAACCTAATGCTGCATTCCAGTTACTTCGGAAGTAGGAGCTGGGAATGACATTACACCCAAGTTGACGGCGTTCCAGTTAATAAGTCGGAAACCAAGATGGACATGTACAGTTAGCCGTTGTTAGCTGTTGTTTACAATTGCCAGCTGTCGTTAATGGTTTGCAGTTGTTGTTAGCGATACTAGTTGTAAACAACACAGTTTTTTACTCTTATAAACACCATAGCACCGTGTTCACAGTTAGACGTTGGGCAGTACAACATATACCACTTATTTAATTTCACAAAAACAAAACAAAAATGCTATTAAATGATACATTACGAGAGCTTTCACTGTTACTCTTCACTGTTGATACACTGCACTGCCATCTTAGATGATGACGTTGTCGTCAAGTCAGGGTTGGTAAGAGCTTGGAAATTCCAACTTCTGAGTACAACTGGAACGCAGCATAACTCCTGGCCAACCAACCAGCCTTTAGCCTCTTTCCAAACAGCTACAGTGAGGCAGGCCTCCAATTCATCAATCTTGAAACCTTAAAATCTTTAAACAAGCCTGTTGTATTAAAAATAGAGATTTCCTGTGTAGTTGATGTTGTGACGGAACTGAGCTTTCTAGATGGAAACCATTTTTTGAACCCGGCTGTTTGTTTTTGTTTCAAAAATGGACTGTTGGAATAAAAGCTGAACACCAATTCTACCAGAGTTAGTGCATGACAGAAAACACTCGTATGTGGAATTGGTGTTCAGGTTTTAAGCCAGCCCAGCTCTTATCAGACTCAGACGAGACCCTTAAAGACACTCTGGACTTTATAAGGACTTATAAACCCACGTCTCCAGCTCTGAGTGTCGAGCTCTCATTATACGTAGAGAGGACCCTTCACATGAGGAGTGCCTGTTTGAGCCGGTCTCTGTTGAGTCTGCAGCTCGGTGGAAGGAGCTCCTCTCGGCCCGGTGTCCTGTTCCTTCTTGTATCATATTAAGTTATAAAATATTCACATCTGTACTTTCTGCGGTGTTCTGCCTCTACTGTACGAGCCGACTGTAAGAGGAGAGGAGGCTACAGGCAAAAAATCAGCCACTCCATGATGTATTCTTGCCTCACCAGGGACCTTTAGACCTTTTTAACTCTGTTGGTTTGGTTTTACTGCGTTGTGAACTGTAGGTTCTTTAATTAACACTGGGCAGATACCGGACTAGCATGCTTATGTGGGTGTTTTCAACTGTGCATCGTGGTGTGGATAGGTATGTAATGGAAATAATCACACTCTAAATTAGGAAGCTACACAATCTGTTATAGAAGGACGCACCTGTGTGAGCCACCTTCAAACTAAGGGAGTCGTCACACCTTAAAAACAGATCCAGCATGCTTTATAACTTTGCAGTGTGAGCCGACATTGATTCTAAAGAGTTTTGTAACGTCCAGACGGTGGTGACGCTGTTAGCTTGCTCTGATTCTCTGAAACTCCTCTAAACTCCTCACACCACAGGGTCATTTGGCCAGGCAATCTGTTGCGACCAACCTAGAATCGGGAAAACACCCCCGGGATTATCAGAAGTGGTGAATCCGACCCACAATCTGCCCAATTATTCTCTAATGTGCGGCCGGCATTAAAGGATAAAGACGTGGTTATATAGCACTGTAGCTAGCAGAAGGACTGTGCTCATGTTAGTTTGATAGAAAACCACTTGTTGGCTGTTGATTTTGATTCAAATTAGATCCGTCTCATATGTAGATGAAGTACTTGTGGTGCTCTCTCTGGTTATGAACATATAGGTGTGATGTACTCATGCTGATTGAAGGGGCAAAGGTGAAAACAAAGGGTGTCTGCTGTATGTCATGTATGCAGAAACATAGAACAACTTGGAGTAAAGACCATATAAAATCTTTGCAGTTTTCTGTCTCTCTTAAATCTGTAATCAAGAGGTCATTGGATGGACCCGGTTTAAGCTTCACTGAAAACAAGGGCATCCAGAGAGAGCTTTGTTTACATTTAACCTAATAAATTGTATTCAAGTTGCAGAGTGTGCACATTTTATGTGCTGCAAAAGCCTCCAGAAAGTGCTTAATTTACATTTAACCACTAGGAAGGTCATCCAGAAGACACTCTATTTACATTTTATCAACTGGTGTGCATCCAGAGGGTACCTTATTTACATTTAATCTAATGAAGAGTATTTAAGGTGCAGTGTGTGCACATTTGACCTCTGCAACAGCCTCCAGAGAGCACTTTGTTTACATTAAACCACCAGGAAGGTCATCCAGAAGACACTCTATTTACATTTTATCAACTGTTGTGCATCCAGAGAGTACTTTGTGTACCTGTTATCCACTTGATGGGCATCCAGAGAATACTTGGTAACTCTCTTTCCACTGGCTGGGCATCAAGAGGCCACTTTGTTTACTATTTTTTTTTTTTACACAGGGAGAGCAACCACGTGGCACTTTGTTAAAATTTAATCAATTCAGAAGGGTATCCAGAACCATTATGTTCACATCTTTGCTTATAATATGATTCCACTTTGTCAAGGAAAAAGGAGAATTGCTTATATATGGTTCAGTGTGACTTTTTTTGTTAACCATGCCTTTTTTTGCAATTTGAATAAGATTTAACGACACTATGTTTTTTTTTTTTTGACTGGTTGAGAAACAGACTGAAACTACTACTGATGCCTCATTAAGACCTTCAAAAGTTTTTCTCAGACCAGGTAATGACAGCAGACTGAATAAACATCATTTTATTTTTTTCAGTGTTGAATACTCCCAGGAAAAGATATATATCAATGTTACAATACAACAGGATGATGATGTTTTTGTATAAAGAACATCACTGTCAACAGGGGGCACCAGAACAAACACAAAGCAAACGTTTCTCACTGCAGCTTTAATAAATCATTTTAATATTTTCCTCCAGCTCTAATCTCTATTATTTATTTATTTCAAAGTAAAAGAGATTAAATCCTAAAATGTACTGTTGCATTCTTCTAAAAAGACCTAATAAATTCTAATTTATCTTTTGATTTTAAAGTTATATGCTGCTTAATGTGACATTTCTTTGACTGCATTAAGGACTTGTTTATTTCTGTTTTTTACTCTGGAAAGTACTTTGAATTCTCCATCTTTGAATGTTACTTTGCAAACAAACTTTCCTTTTTATGCCTTTAACAGATCTTGTCGACAGTGTAAGTAAATAAAACGCCAAACTTCCTCATTGAGTTCTTATAATCTTCTTAAACAAGTTTATTAAGGTGCTGAAATCCTCTCTAACGCAGGAAATCTGCTTTTTACAGGATAAAGTGAGACGTGAGGCTTAATGAGAAAAGTTCGGAGGTTATTAAGAGTAACAGGAAGCTGATTGCTCAGTCACAGGTAAATAAGGTAAGTGTGTAATTTAAAGAGAGACGGAAACTTCAGTCTGTCTGTTTGTCTGTCTGCAGCAGTCCATCATCAGCTGTCTCAGCATGTGATCTGCACATGTCAGTCTGCAGGAGCGTGCCTGGGTCACTCTTTCCATCTGAACTTTACAACTCTCTCTCTCTCTCTCTTTGCACCTGTCCATTATGGTCCATGTAAGGAGGAAGACAACACCTCCTCTCCTCTGACCTCTTTTTCACACCATCTCAGGTATGCTGTCAGGGGTGGAAAGTAAAAGTAGCTCCCCTCAGGTGTTACTCTTCTCCTCGGCGTTGAAACCAAACTAACGTTGAGCTCTTACATCATCCCGCCGCAGCTTTTTGGATATAAAGCTGCGTCGCTCTCATTTCATGCGTTCCTCCGGATAAATATTTGTCTGTCGTGGCCTCAAAATAGCAGAGCAAAGACACATTTTTACATTACAGCCGGTGATAAGCAGGATGGGCTGTCAATGGGTCGCCTTAACCAAATGTAGAGTCCCAAATCCCCTCTCAGCAGCTTTAATCTGATGTGTGAAGCGAGAGAGAGAGAGAGAGAGAGAGAGAGAGAGGGACACCGAGGAGTGTGAGCCAAAAGAGGCACTAGGAGGTTCAGAGACACTACAGACTGAGTTTCCCTGTGCCAGCTGGGATATGTAGTCCCCTCATGTTTTCTTCCAAGGCATGCTGGGAGTTGGACATCACCACCTCACGCTTTATCAGCTCAGAGCCAAAAGAGAAAGTTTAATCCCCCAGAGTGAGAGAACTTCCTGCTTCTGATGAGTTTTTTTTCTGACTTTAACACTTTTTGTTGAGTATCTTTATCCTTAAATCCGGCCACGATGCCCATTTGGTTACACTTAAACCTTAAGAAGTAGTTCAGCAGCTCAGAAATGTGTAGTTTAACGTTTAGGCTGAAGAGAATTCATCACCATGGAAACAGGGATGGGAAATGATGATATTTTATTGATACCAATGCCTTTATTGATTCTGATAATTGATGAGATTCTTTATGGATTTCCTTCAGTGGATTTTCTGTGTCGAAATAAGTTGGTCCTGTGTCAACAAAACACATTAGTAAGTTTTATTGCCATCAAGCTTCTGATTGGGCCTTTACAGGTCAACTGATTACATGTACAGCCTCTGATTGGTTGACACACCAACATAGAGATGGCACCCACCCATCAGCACAGTCAGCAAAGTCAGCTATGCTTCTGATTAGCTGATCAAGACCAAAACATGTATTTTATCAACAAAAAGTTTTAAAATCTTATTTTGAAGTCTGAAAATGATCCGACCTTTTAATTACAGATGTTTCCTTTTAACTTTGCAGGAATCCGTTAAAGAAGCATCTTTTTTTGTGGTGTATAATCTCTGTAATTGTAGACTGATCTTTATGTTTATGCTCACAATCTGATATATTTGTGGAAAGTACAGGTGGAGGGACACAGCTTTCTAGTACAACATTCTCCTCGGCTCGACTGTCTATCCCGGTCATCTCACCTCTGAGTATCTCGTCCGGCTTTTCGCCCTGTCCGGCTCCTCTCTGTCAGCTGCCTGTGGATCTCTGGCATGTGGACAACAAGACTAAATGATTGATACCAGACAAAGCTGTGTAAAGCAGGCCTCTAAATGATGGATGATACGGAGCTGCCGCAGTCAACACTCGACTCTGACTCTTCAGTTACAAGGTGCGAAGTGCAAAACCCGGCAGCTTATTTTGACACCTGAGACTGTGTGTGTTCTGTCTGCATGCATTTATTTTTGCATCATCCTAAATTCAGGAAAGCAGGAACAAACACTCCCAAGAGCTGCTTACCAAGCTGGAAAAAAACAGAAAATAATCAGCTTCTATGACATAAAAATACAACATAAATAAACACTGAGAGTCACAGGTTATTTGGAGGTGGATTCCGGTAGATTCTTAGAAACCATTGACTGGTTACAGAAAGATTAGCTGAAACAAAAGTGGATGATATTCCTTGTAATACAAAGGAAATCCAGAATCTGAAAATAGAGATTCATTCCAGGGTAACATCAGTTTAAAATGTACCCGTACTTTCAGCTAAAGTAAAAATAAAAAATGGAGACAAATCCGTAGATGCACTTTTTGCACAGCTGAATGAAATAGACATGCTGCAAACCCTGCGAACAAATGTCCTGTAACTAAAAGTTATCTCAGTCAAAGCAGGCGTGAATAAAAGGTGAAGTCACTGTGCGAGTAATTCAAGAACCTGCTGCTGCTGCTGTTGACGCCTGGAGCTATGGCTCCGTGTTTAAGACCACGTTATGAAAACTTTGATTTAAAGTTCGCTCAAATGCAGAGCAGACAGACGTTACATCATTTACATAACCCTGCCCCTTACCCTCTCTCTTTTTTTCCCCCTCTCTTTAGTTTGTTTTGGTTGCTTTCGTCACATACGGGCTCATCGCCCTGCAGCCAGGCCTTCCACCGGACGGGACGATGTGTCTCTAACACACACTGACAGCAGATACTGGCTTCAGCTTGTGTGAGTGCACATACTGTAAGGATTGGACTGCCGTTCGAGGCTGGAGACAGAACTCTAAAAATAGGAGCTGTGAATAATACGTCAAAACAATCGTCTTCAGGACAAAAGGACAGTTTGGAGAGTCGTCTTCGGAGGACGGACGAGCTGAGCGGACTGGTGTCAGATTAATGTCAGTCAGAGATGAGGGAGCGCATAGACTTCAGCTGCAGGAGGTCACGGAGAGGAAGGACGCTTTACTTCTGAGGATGATGACAGACTTACACCATCCTTCACACTTTGGGAAACTTCTTCCTGCTGTATTTCAGTATAGCTCTTATTTTAAATATTTAAAAAAACATGAAAAACTAAGAAAATGAACCAGCAAAACCACCCACTACGCTCCACCTGCAGTATCTCAAATCACTGTTTTGATCCTTTTCGTCCAAGCTGCATTTTCTAGTGTTGACAGCTGAAGCCAGTGCAAAAAGTCCACATACTGTAGTTCCTTAAGTGTCCACTAGAGGCCGGCTGCAAAAACCAAAGAACTCTCATTGGCTCCCATTTGTTTGAAGATACAAAGAATATTATGACTTGGATAGATCTAAAAGGGGGCATGGTGTTTCTAAGGAGACTTATCCCCACTCTTCATGAGTTCCTGGGCTGATAAAAATATGGGAGACACATTGATTACAGGCCTGATGTCAGGCCTGGATAACTGCCGACTCTGAATAACTGCCGACTCTGGTGCTATAAGACCCCTGCTGCATTTGATAGTCCATCCCCAGATTCTCTGTTTGCGCCTTGAGTTCTGTGCAGGTATAAAAGGACCATCCTTAAATAAATTCAGTCTTATTTGTCAGGGAGGACCTTCTCCATTCATACTGGACAGTTTTCTTAAGCAGCAGCATCCTTTCTAGCCTGTGGGTCCCTCAAGGCTTCATTTTTGGACTCCTTTATTTTCTTGTTATACGCCACCTCTGGGGTCCATTAAAAATAAATAAATTAATAAATAAATAAAATGGAATAAATGAGATAAATAATTAAATAGATTAATAATAATAATAATAATAATAATAATAATAATAATAATAATAATAGTAATAATAATAATAATATGTCTTTCTATTGCTTTGCAGGTGATTTATTTACAAATGAAAAAAAAAATACTACTAAATGTCTTTGAATGCCCTCAAAAAATTGAAATGATTTAAAATATTGAGTTTGATATAAATTCAGACATTTTTGTTTTGAGTCTATGTATTTGTCAGCCTATAGAGGGTCCCGTTTAATTCAGGGCTTGTTGCATATTTTTCTGAACTTTTTCAAACTGTAACAAAAGATCTGTGTCAAGTAAATATTGTTGTGATGGTATCTAAATGGTTATAGCATAAATTTTGAAATAAAAGGGAAGAACAGTACATTTTTGAGAACCTTTATGTTGGTTGTTGGTTCTGTTTCACCGGTATGCCTCGGTTTGGACTGATCCACTCCACTGAGAAAACTAGCGGATCCTAAACCAACATTTGAGGGGTGAAAAACACGCACTAAATAAGATGGAGCGTCTTTTTCGTTGTGGTACCGACCCCCACCCCCCCTCCTCCCCCGTACAGGTGGAACCGTCCATGTGATGTCAGAGGTGAAGCGGGAAATCAGCCGTTTGTCAACATTCAAAAAATGGTGGATTAACGGCTGAAACACAAAGTGAAAACGCGGAATTAGTCCAAAAAGGTAAGAGAAACTCATGTTAACTTATGATTCTGATGTTAAAATCAGACATTTGGCATTGAAATATCGGCATAATCGATATTTACAGGTAATCAACTGTCCTGGACCGATTTACGCCGACAGGAGGACCTCCCAGTGGTTCAGGTAGGAACATGTCGTTCTGACTAATTTACTCTTTCTGTTGATGAGTAATCTCGTTTAAAATACAGGGTCATATTTTCTCTTTTTAAGGAGATAACTGATGTGACATTAGCAAAGGTTTAATTTATAACTTTGCATACCAATTTTCAGGGCTCTCAAGTCTCACGCA